AGTAAAACAACACAAAACACGGCAACACTTAAAGCTTCCAAGTTTGAAAGTTTGAAGTCAGTTCACTTACAGCCCATGGTGATCCGTCCCTGAACCATTACAGAGCTATTAATATATATAAGAATATAATTAATATTAACACGCTCCGAAGTGTAAAGAATGAACGTTGCGGTCGTGGCGGACGTTGCCATTAGTTAGTATGGATTAAACAAAGAACTTTGCTCCATGCTTTTTAGTTATCGAATTTCTCGAGATTCTCTATGAATCGTTCCTAATTATTTATAGAACTTAGTCTACAAGATACAACGATATTTGTCATTATACAGCACAAGGTTGTATAACCAAACAAAATTTGTAGTCCCTTCAAGCTGCACTATAGTAAAACATGGTAACATATAAAACTTATCTGCTGCTACTATTATATACTGTATATATGCCAGAGATACATTTCCTCTGAGCTGGTTAGTGTTTTTCTTGCTCTTCATCAGCTCATGCTCTTCCTCATAAAGACGAATGGGCTCTTTCTCCAGCCCCGTTATTTCAACACGGTTGGAGAGCACCTGCTGTATCGAGCCGCTGCTTTTCTTCAAACCCCCGCGGACGCTGCTTTTGACAGACTTGTCATTTTAGTGACATGTTGAATTTGTCCGAGCGTAACGCTGAGAATGAGCCGGGATGACAGCGTGCCATTTAAGGTGCTGGATGAAAAAAATGAAGCAATCTTTTGTGACAATGAAAGGGCGAAAGGCCTCAGAGGCGAGAGACGGGAACGCCGAGGAGTCAGAAGGCCAGGGGCTGATTTCTGATTCCCTACATGGAAACCCTTTGATTTAATCATTGATGTTATAATAGCTCCGAGAGGCCGGGGCTGAGTAATGTTCTGTCCTGCGATCTGGTTCATCGGTTTTTGTTGTTCATGGCAGCAGAGTATCTTATATTATATTCTCCAACTACAAGCCCGGCTGATGTGCTGGGATTGCCCGCTACTACTGGATATATGACCTGGGTCTGAGCCAGTCTCTCCTCCCAGTCAGCTGCTCACAGCCCCACGAGAGCTCAGACTGATCTTTTTATTTTAGAGTTACGTTTGCTTTCACACCTGACCTGTTCGGTTCGTTGGTTGCATGGGAAGATGGTGTCGAGTTCTCCAGCTGTGCTTTTACACCTAACTTGTATAGTTGAGGTTAAACAAACGTTGGTCCGTTTGTCTGTTGGAATCAATTAGCTTGGTGTGACAGATGTGAACAAACGAACGGTACCTTAATTAGGAGCTGTCGCCCACCTTAATTAGATTTTCCTGTGTGGGTCCATATTAGGCTGATGATGAGTTACCTGTCAGTCCATGTGGCCTTGGCTTTACTGCTCTCGCTTCTTTTGGAACACGTTGGATCTCTTCTCTTAGCTTAGTCCGAACAACAGGTGTGTCGTAGAAACTATAACTTTGTCTGTCTGTCAGCTGATTCAACTGTCAATCAGGCAGTTCAGAGATGAGCTCATTTTTGAAACGCTATGAAATAACAGCCAGATAGAAGTCCTTAAGAGAAGCTGAAGTACTACATTTAAATGATTCCACACGTTTCAGGGTTGTTTATGTCAGAGACTGGTGGCGAAGCAGCGGATCGATGATGTAATTGTACAGTATCCTGTTTCCTCCTCTGCTTTCCTTCATTCCTTCCTTCTTCCCTCAGCAGGGCTCCAGGGGCCGGTTTCACAAAGACAGTCTTTGACAATGGCTTAGCTAAAGTAGATATCAGACCGTTGCACAAAACACTGAAGACCCTGACTATCTTAAGTAGGATTACACTGCAATGAATCCTGGGTAAAACAAGACAAAAAAATGGCAGATTGAGTAGGCGCATCCAACCGCTCAATGCAGTTTACCCCAGCGGAAATAATGTGTTTGTTGAAGCAGTATAATTGTTATACTTTACTAGGAAAAGTAAGCAGAGAGTGTGGTAACAAAAAGAAATGCTTGATTTGAAAGAAAAAAAGTTCACGACAGTAAACAGCATTAATTGGACTGTTGAGCGGAGCGTCCAAGATATACAGAAAAGATCCAAGAACATGGTACAAGATGCCAAAACAGAAATCTTTAAGAGGTATTATCCTAAAACAGGAGGAGGCAGTACTTCAGCTTCAGTTAGCTAAGCTAAGTTAGCCCGGGGGTTAAAAGTTCTTTGGTCTAAAGTCAGTCAGTCTTTATTTTTGTGAAACAGTCTTAACGTGTATTAGTCTAGTCTATGAGGAAACACTCCAGACCAGTCTAAACAGCTCTGTGAAACCGGCCCCTGAGTGCGATCAAAAATCAGTTGAGTGCGACTACATCTGGTTCTTGGCTCTGTGTTTTCCCCAAATCTCACCTGTGGAAGAAGCTGAGAGCCAATCCAAAGCTGAGAAGGGGTGCTGGATTTGTACTCCTGCAGTGACTTGACGCAGATACCTATGGCGTTGGCAACGCACATGCCCTCGTGTTTATACTTGCCTGTTGGTGGTCTTCTCCTGAAAGACGGCGTCATGCAAATGAATGTGGCCAAAATGAAAGAACCAACAAACAAAACCAAGTGGAACCAGTAACACTGGCATACTTAGAAAGCAGCCCGGAGGAAAAGTACAACATTTTAAGTATTTGGGAACAATCACTGATCAGACTGTAGCTTTTAATGAGAGCCAACATGTACTTGGGTGTACACACAGGACTTTGAGTTCTCCGTGCCGGCGCGGGGCGTTTTTATATTCGACAATATATAATTATGTCCATGGAGAATATTCTTGCCTATTTTTTGAAATGATATGTGTGTGAAGCGCCAGTCCTCAGCACAATCTCTGCACAAAAGAAGGGGACTGGCACTTCCTGACTACGTGGACACTCATCGGCTATTGTAGGCCGTGGACAGGGCATCGAATTTTCTATTGGGTCAATTAAGGTGTCACTCAAACAGTCAAGGTGTAGTTAAACGATGTAACAGCAGTCCGTGTGTATTTACTGATATAAAAATGTGTTTTGGACTAAATATTCTACTGGATTGGATCATCTGGACCTTTGCCAACATAACAAGGCCAGTTCTGTCTGAATGTATTCCATCGATACGCCACAGCTTTTCTGGTAAATGGCGTCAATTTTGATTATTAGCAGTGCTTAAAGTGGGTCACCGTTACCAGTACTTCTTCTTTTTACTCTTGGGCGTAGTGGGACTTTTCTTGTCCTCTCCGTATCAGGGTCTCTGGGCACCATGTGATGCTCACCTGTTCTCGCTGGCCTCCTAATCTCTCGGTAGAAACAGGAAGAAGAAGCTCGGGTGCCTTTCATGCAGTCGTGTGCGTAAAGTTGCTCATCGACGTAGCTTTTCGTGAAGCGACCAATCCCAGCCCGGAGGCGACCGGACACTGAAATAAATTTAATGCGCTACAGCAAACTTTAGAAATGTTGAACTGCATGAATGATTAGTGATGAGTAGTACTTAGCATTAACTAATTAGAAACTGACCACCATGTAGATCATTTTTCTTACACAAATGTAATGAATTGAAACAACCCACACAAATGAAACTGCTGTCCAACTGGAACTAATATTATACTAGTGGTAAGATGTATAGTAGGCTATCTGAAATTATAAAGAATACACTAACATTAGCCCTAATACACAACATGTAAATGGGTACCAGCAGGGCTGGGCAATAAAACATTAATAATCTCAATATAATTTTCCTCAATAACAAAATTTTATTCATTTGAGTCATAGTCAAATCAGCATTTATTTTTCTATTTAGGAAAAGGGAGTGAAAACAGATTTTATCTAATGTTACTCATGAATATTTGTCTAAAAAAGATTCCGCATAATTGTTCTGAAGGTCTTTCCTCCAACTTTCACTCAGGAGCAAAAATCAGCCGTTGAACTTGAAAGAAACAATGATTTGAGATTTATTGTGATAATTATCAATAATCGATTATCATGATAACATTGTTGGCCATATCGTCAACACTTCAAGCTTTGATTATAGGTGGTGGCAGAACATTTTACCTGAATGCAGGAAGTGTTAAATGCTCAGATTTTTCAGGGGGAGGACCCCCACATTGAATATTTCTTCATACCAGTTTACAATTATTTTCTCGTCTTGTTCTTGCGAACCCAGTATCGTAATTTTTACATGTCTCGTGAGCTTGGTGTATCGTCACGGCCCTAATCTGAGCCACTATGCCCCCATCAGTCACGCTGTGGCCCCTCACCCATCATCTTTGTTGTAACCCCCGAACACATTTCAGGCACAGAAAATGTTCTTGCTTTAAGCCCTTTAACAGCAAAATCAAGCTCTCTGAAGTTGTTGACACTGCAGGAAAGATGATACATACATATAACATATGTCATGCGTCACACCCACTAAACACGCACCGAGTCAACAAAGCTAGTCGCTGTATGAGTGAAAACTACTTTGCAGCAAAGCTGATCTTCAGTTTGAGCAGCTCCTGCCTCAACGTAAAACCGGAACATACAGCGGTCGTCTGTTATTCAGTACGCTGTGCGGCGTGCAGGGGTTGAACACAGAATGACATCAGAGGACACGCTCAGATGAAAGTATCCACAGCTGGACTGCCGCCGTTGTGGCCGCTAGTAAAATTGACTTCAAAGCACAAAGCACTTCCTGCGATGCTGCCAAGCCGGCCAATCACAGTTCTTACTGTCATGTAGGTTCGTGTCTGGCTAACTTTTCAGTCATTTGAGTCTTTTGAATTTTCACGCAAGCACTTTAAACTTCAGCACTTTTTAAGTTTTGTTTTACATTAATATTTGTTGATCTCTAAATAAAAACACTCACCTGCAGGTGTTCCTGTTTGCAGTCACTCACAGAACTATCGGTGAGTTTGGGAAATGACAGAAGGTCAGAATATATTGTTACGGAGGTAAAAGTGATGTGCATAAAGATCTTGTGGAGCCCTGCTGTCATGGAGATCTGCAGATTACCACCAGCTCTCTCCTCTAACGTTTATCTCTCCCTCCATCCCAGCAGACGCCTCCCGGGTGTCATGACCCAGCAGATGCAGAACCTACAGTTGTCCCAGACCAGGAAGTGCCCCGGTGGGCCGGCCTCCCCCAGCGCCGCCAAGCGCCTCTACCGGAACCTGTCGGAGAAGCTTCGAGGAAGCACCTCCTCCTTCGAAGATGCCTACTTCTTCGGCAAGACGGACCGTCTCCGCAAAGCCTCGGTGAGTCTGCTGCGCAGCAAGAGGGAGAACATTTGATTTGTGTTTGCACTGAATGGTAATGTAGTGAGCTATTTACCCGTCAGAAGATCAGATGGCTCTGAAACGAACCCCCTGATTAGACGAAGGTGAACAGTAACATTATAAAGATAAAGATGTCTGTAAAGATTAAAAAAGCTCCCTGAACAGGTCAAAACCTCCTGCAGCTTCGTGTTCAGGCGTTTACTGTGAAGCAGCTGCAGGAATTAGCTTGAACAGTATTTACATAGTAAACCTGCTTGTCTGCTGTGTGTATTGACAAAGCAGCAGCTTTGTGAAAAGTGTTTCCTGTCTGGTAACAGTCGTGTTAGTCATCAGCACGTCTCTGTGACTCTCAGTGTTCAGGTTACTGTAGATAAAATGTAGAAAACCAAAGAGCCGCATCGGACGCTGAGGAGAAACCCTGTGAGTCAGCCGAGACAGAAGGATCAATAAAGACCTTGTTAGCAGCCACGTCCCAGCTCTCCTTTCCTTCACTTCTCTGAGCCGCTTCAGATTTTTTCCGTCAGCGGATCACCAGTAACCGTCAGAGGAGGGTTAGTAAGAGCCTTGCTCAAGGACTCTTGGCCGTGGACGGCGTGTGTCTTTGGAGAGCGTTTGGTTTCACGGTGAAGCAGCACTCTCGCTCTTCATCGCCACTTGTCTCTGCCATCATCACATCCGTCCTGCTGCCCTGACAAACAGGATTACTGGCGTGTGACGGGCGCTACAGTTCAGAGTGTGTGTGTGTGTGCTGACATTTACAGACCAGTCACATCAGCAGACGTGAAGGAGAGAGGCAGATGGGGGGAGGAGGAGGGAGGTAAGAGAGAGTGGGAGGTACGAACAGATCGCAGCATGTGACAAGACAGGTCATGAGTGTATTGATAAAACACACAATTAAATAAAGGCATTCATTTAAACACACTGACAGTGAAATAAAAAAGTGGTTAAATACAAAGACAGAGCAGCCAATCATAATTGTAGATCCCGCCCCCAGAGCTTGATTGATAAGCTGCAATAAGCAAAGGCCTTTAGATAGAGACTGTACACGTAGTTGAGAGTTTGATTATAGTAAACTTATTTATTTATTTCAGTGGCGACACAGGAGGCAACGTGGTTCAGACTTGGGCTGAACGATTTGGGGAATAAATCTAACTGTGATTTAATTTATGATTATTTGTTTAAGTTTATCTAAAGTCTTTTCTTTTGACAGAAGTCACGTCAAGCAGAAGAGAGCAGATAAACTGGGCAGGAGGTCAGACACGATTTTCAAAGTAACACCATGTGCAGACTCCCGATCGTATAGCAACAATAAACACAATTAAAACCGACAAACAAATAAAAGGTTTAACTACGTAGCCTAATTAACCATAGCAGAAGCACAAAAAGCGAGGACAACTTAACAAATGAACAAAATCTGAGCAAGTCAGCAAAGTCAGGCAGGCAAAACGCTCTTATTCTGAAAAGCTCGATGTGCATGTAGCTGTGCAGAGAGCGAAACCGGCTCACAGAGAGCTCTCGTTGGTAGCTGAAGCATGTCAGGACCTGCTGAACGCTTCGCTGCTGAAACACTTCAGTGTGAGTAAACGCCGGACAAAACCGCTGTTTGGCTGACGTCATCATCCCACGTTTTCCTCCAGTTTCGTGTGTTGTGCACACCCTGTGCGCGCTCTGATTGGTGAGTAGGACCGTAACAGGAGGCGCATGGCGCTAGTGATTGGTTAGCAGGTCTGTCACACAAGGACGGAATTCAGTGGAATGAATCTGTTACTGCACGACTGTTTAAAACGGGTCAGACGTGTTTTTAACCTACATTTTAATCGCCGTCTTCACAATTAGCCAATCGGCTTCCTTCAAATCGCGGTTTCCATTTGAAAACGATTAATCGGTCATCTAGCGCCATCATCAGCTCAACATGTTGGTGTGTTAATACTTTTTGACCAAATACCTGCAGAGCTAATGACCCAACCATAACAACATTATACCTGCTAAACACGGAAACCCGAAGCGGCCATACATTCATATATTGACTGTTTCCCATGATAACGAGTTAATTTAATGTGTTTTCTTGAGATCTTGAGTTGTTTGTGTCATTATCTTGACATAACAAAACTTTGTTTTCCAGAGATGATGACATAATCAATTTGAGATCTGGAGAATAGTGTAGGATATTGGTCTGCAAGTGAGTTTGGCATCGGGCCGATTTATTAGGATAACGTGAGAGTGGTTTTCAGTGCAACCTGAGCAGCGACCTCACATTTCCTGACGGCTATTTCAGAGGCTTGTCATGCAAGCTGCAGACTCTTTTGAATGTCCTTCAAAACTTTTCAAACCTCTGAAAAAGCCGTGGGATTCACCTGAATGAGAAGTGCAGGCCGTGCCTTCTGCCTGGGGAGGCTGGGTAAATGAAAATCCAAAGCGTCCGTGGGTTGGGCGGCTGTGGCTCAGGAGGTAGAGCGGGTTGGCCGTTAATCGGAAGGTCGGCGGTTCAATCCCTGGCTCCCCCTGGTTGCGTGTCGAAGTGTCCTTGGGCAAGATACTGAACCCCGATTTGCTCCTGGCGGCTATTCCGCCAGTGTATGAATGAGTGTGAATGCTAGTTTCCGTTTGAGCACTTAGGCTCAGTGTATGAATGTGTATGACTGGTGAATGCAGATGTAGTGTAAAAGCGCTTTGAGTGGTCGAAAAAAGACTAGAAAGGCGCTATACAAGTACGGAGCATTTACATTTACATTTGATGGATGTCGCCGAGACGTGCTTCACTGTGAGTATATGAAATCATAATTAATTTGCCCAGCATGAGGATTGAACACACGACCTTTAGCCTGAAAGTCCACTGAAAACCACTCTTAAATAAGACTTTCCTGCCGACCCCTTGTCTTGACAGAATTATTTGGGATAAGTTTAATACATTGTGAATTTGTAGTATCGGTTCAGGAATCGTAAAGAATCCCAAGACGCCCGTCCCTGTATGTTTTAGGGTACACTACGTGTTGACTGTTGGTGTTTCACATTGAGCTCACGAAGCAGTTTAATGAAGTCATGGGCCAGCAGAGCAGGACCTTTCGGGCACAAGGCGAGTCTGGTATGGGGGTTTAGGGCTTACTGGGAACCGGCGCCCTCTAACACGTTCATCTGGCCCTGCGTGGAGTAAAAGAACAGCTGTGGTGACTGACATCAAACGATGCTGCACTTTCACTGCCCCTGATGTGGTTATTGATCTGCTCTGGCGTCACAAAGAGCCCAGCATTAAATATTTATCATCGTCAGTCCAGACTGACGCTGTGACCTCGCTCATCATGAAGAAAGACGGATGTTGTGTGTGATTTCCACTTCCTCCCGTGTTTTCTCCTCCAGACCATGCAGGGCAGCGACTGCATCTTCGAGGCCGTGGAGCAGCAGGACCTGGACGCGGTGCAGATCCTCCTCTACCAGTTCTCGGCGGAGGAGCTGGACCTGAACACGCCCAACAGCCAGGGCCTGACGCCGCTGGACATCGCCATCATGACCAACAACACGCCCATCGCCAAACTGCTGCTGAAGGCCGGCGGCAAGGAGAGCCCACACTGTGAGTACAACCCGGGGGCCGAGTTATGGATCCAGCTTCTCAAACCTCCGAATGATGGGAATCATTTTAAGTCATTTGTTCTCAAAAAGTGGTTTTAGTTTGAAATGAAGTCCGTCCTACCTCACATATGTAGTACACTGTGTGTGTGTGCTCTGTACAGAGCAGAGAGTGATGCTGTGGATCAGACAGGGCCTGTGTTTGTGTCTGCAGCCCAGTCTGGTCCCCCCTCCCCTCAGTCCCCCTGTCATCCTCCATAAACCCTCCACAGACAGGTGGTTCTTACCTTGCTGCTGGAACCCTCCCCCCGCCCTGTGTGTGTGTGCGTGAAACAGTGGCCACTTTACAGTGAGCCGGGCCTCCTGCGTGACTCCCGCTGAACACCTTTAACAAGGTTTGTCGTTTAATGGTTTAACTGTTCCAATGATGCATGTAACGCCGGGGCAATTACAGCTAAGTGATTTATTGTGCCGCGGCGGCGAGGGCTCTCCGAGCAGCGGCCTGGACTCTGGGCGGCGGTACAATCCCATCTTTGTAAACAAACACAGAGCAAACACTGCCGCTGTTTTCCCTCCTGGGGCCTGCTGCTCTCTGTTTATGTCATTCCTCAAGTGCCAAGTAAATCAGTCAGCCCGGGCCTGACAGCACGCCGTGTGTGCGTGCGTGTGTGTGGTAAAAATCTCCATTACAACTAAAAGTCCTGCCCTCATATTTTTACTTAAGTAAAAGTAAACAAGCGTCTGTGGCCCGTCTGTTCGTGCCATAAAAATACATAAATAAAGTTTAAGAAGTCATGGTGGAAGAAGATATTTTACTCCAGTAAATACTACAGTGTGAAAAAAGTCCTGCATTTAAAATCTGAAGTAGAAGTAAAAGTACACTGCCGCAGATCAGCCCATTTACATATTAGTAGAATTTTATACATTATTTCTGGTTTCTGATTCATGGAGGTAGAAGTGATTGTACTTTACACTCTGATGAAGGGACTGGAGTTTGAGACTCAGACTCGAGGTGCGGGACTCGTGAACAGTGTTTATTTTTAGGAAACGTCCGATGAGCTGTCTGTTATTCCCTCCCTGCGTTACCCATAACCTGCCTACGTAAAACAACTACATATCTGCTGCGCGCGGCCACACGTGAGCGAGGACAACAAACACAGAGTTCGTGCTGAAAAGTGATCATCCGCGCAGCATGTTAAAGCTGCATCGCCCGGTCTCTTTACAACCACAGCTGCATCTCGGTCAAACAGACATAATTTGCAAATAAACATCACTTTATGTCCATGGTAACAGCAAAGGTTTGTCTTTGTGAAACTTTACGGTTTCTTTCAACGGAATAATCATAATTTTGGCCCAAAAAATGTTTGCAGTTTATAGTGTAACCAGTGTATGTCTTATATCTTTGTTTATATTTGGGGGAAAAAGACTGGCTATAAGGCTATAATTAACACAACTTACTGCTGAGTTATATATAAAATAAAGACATGATCTCTTTTGCAATTATCCTTGTAACTCTACATTATTTAACTTGCTGTGTACCAACCAATCCAGTCCTTTTTACCTGTTCAAATACCTTTAAATGACCAATACAACCCATAAAATGCAGTATTTTACTTGACAGAAGCCTCTACTTATTGACTGAAAGGTAGTTTCTGCCCTTGAGTGTTGATTTCATTAATGAGACACTGGGTTTGAGAGTCTGCAGGGTTAATAAGCCATTAATAAGTCATTAATTGCATTGCACATTACATGGTTGTGCTCTGTAAGTGAAAAACAGGTTACGGTTACAGAATCTGTTATAGCTCTGCAGTTTTATAAGCAGCCTGGATTGAACACAGCAGGTGATACAACATTTGTAATAACCACGAGTGACTTGACTTGGACTCTAGCTCAGAGACTTGAGACTTGACTTGGACTCTGGCTCAGACACTTGACTGCCAAATTCTCTGGAACGCCTTTGGAGACGGCTTATGGTAGAGAAACGAACATTCAATTCAAGAGCAACAGCTCTGGTGGACATTCCTGCAGTCAGCATGCCAACTGCATGTGCCCTCAAAACTTGCGACATCTGTGGCATTGTGCTGTGTGATGGAACTGCACATTTTGGAGTGGCCTTTTATTGTGGCCAGCCTAAAGCCTTTTATTGTGGCCAGCCTAAGGCACACCTGTGCAATCCCCATGCTGTCTGATCAGCATCTTGATTGGCCTGCTCCTGACAGCGCTTCAGTTGAATCTGTGTACATGTGGACTAGGTTTCCTTGAGTAACCTGCTGAGGGAGGATCTGTGACGTCATGCTGGACCGAGTCTGCTCAGTTTGTGTTTGTGTAAAAAACGTGTGTCATTATATTGCTAATTAAAAGAAGTAGTTTTTATTAATAAGCCAGGAGAAAAACATCTGGTCTGTGGGATAATTTATAATTTACTCAGAATAAAGGAGTAACTTTCTTACCTTTTCCTTTTGTAGTTCCATCAGAGGTTTCACCCTGACACTCTGTTTGTGTTGAGAAACACTCAAACTAATCTATTATAACTGGACCACATTTCACCCCCTCTGATCTGAAACAGTTACCTCATCAGCTAAGTGTGTGTGTCTCTGTTTTCTGTCTGCCTGTGTGTTAATTTACGAGACCCGTCGGGCCCCTGGTGAGCGGTTGCTCTAAATTTAGGCCCCTGCCGGCCCCTCAGTCAGACAGTGAGTTCCTGTGTGTGAGGCGGCTCCTCCTCAGCAGCCCCTCAATTTACAGCCTTTTCAATTAGCAGCCGTTAGCAGCTAGCCCCGCTCTGACTGGCCGAGCTGAGCAGGAAGTGACACGTCAGGGGCACCAGGCCTCGCAGCCTCAGGTTCACCTAGTCTGTCTGTTCCTGTTGTTTGTTGTGTTTGATAAAGTGCTATTCAAAATGTCCAAATATTACAGAGCGAGAAAAGAAATGTTATTGTAATTATTGTTGTCAAAGAAAACTGCTTATACACAAATATACTGCAAATAAGTCTGGCGTCCAATTTTTTTTTTAAGCCAGAACATAGTCAAATTATTTTATATTCTTGAATTCTTGTGTGCAAGTTTAGCTCAGTTGATAGTGAGCGGGTCTTCCGTTGGGAGGGTTGTATGATAGCTCCCAACATACTGCGGATATTTTTGTTCTCCCTTGTTAAACAGATTGATTATAAGGACACTTTTGCACATGCACACAATAAAGTGCTGCAGTGTGTGTGTGTGTCGCAGCGTTTGATCCGCATTCATAAACCCATGGACCCTTATTTAATTTCCTTGAGGAAATTCAGGGAAATCTGATCACACGTTTACTGACTACTTTTTCAGAGACTCTTTTGAATGTCCTTCAGAACTCTTCAAAGTAAAAGTTCTCAATAAATTCAACATAAAGCATTGCTGCAAAAAACATTCTCACGCTTTTATTTTGGAGGCATAATCAGTTAAGAGGAAATGACAGCTGTCCGGTTCAAAGCCCAGTCCAGGTAACACACCTGCTGCTGGGAGAGAGAGCGGCAACGAGTCTTGACCCCTTGCTAAGCCACGCCCCCCTTAGTTAGTGTTGTAAGTCACTTTGTCAGGCTTGTCGGACTTTTATCACGCTGCTGTCAAACTGACATGAAACGAATAAAGACAGACTGCAACCTACTGATCACAGAGAGTAAAAGTGAACCACCATATCACCTGACTATTGAGAAAGAGGACAACGGTATTAAGGATCAACACTGTTCCTGTACAGCTGGGTAGGTTTCTGTACACTATTACAATCATTAAAGAGCAGAGCAGTAGGGCTTTATTACGTTACATTTAGTAGGAAGTCAGCCAGCGTTAGCTAACTAACATCACATTAGGATCAATCCACAGCTGACATTTTCTGGATTTGTTTTAGGTTTTGTTAAGAGAATAAATCGGAATTCTTCTTTCAACCTCTCTGGGTAGAGACTGTAACTATTAATCTATTAATTATCATTTAGATAATATCAAAATGCCTGATATCGGCCCAATGAGAAGAGAGCCTCATCCAGCTCCACTGTTACGCTGATGATACACAATTGTACATTCCTGTAAAGCCCACCAACCTGAATATGCTGAGTGAGGACTGTCTGGCAGATGGAAAAGACTGGATGTCAAATAACTTTCTTCAAGTAAACTCCCAAGAAAACAGAAGTTCTTCTTATTGGTCCTCAACACCTCTCAAAACAAATACGCCATCTATCCATCACCTGTCACAACACATCAGGCCTGTTGCTAGAAATTTCTGTTTCATTTGACAGTAACTTATGTTTTGAACAACACGTAACTAAACTTGTCCAGTCTTGTTTTTATCAGCTCAGAAATATTGCTAAACTTAGGTCTATTTTAAACGTAAAGAGGAAATTCTTATACATGCTTTAATTTCTTCAAGTCTTGATTATTGCCTTTTATGTTGTTCGTCTTGCTTTACTCAGGTGAGTTTTACCGCTAGACATTTTGTGTGTTCACACACATCGCGTTTTAAGCAAATAAACACAGCCCGCAGATACTACAGCTATATGAACTCAAAGTAAACATTTTGCTATGATTTAATTGCAATAAACGGATCAAACTGATGCCGAAATAATCACAATATGATGCAGATTTGTTAGACATGTGAATTCATACTTTGTCAGGTCTGTCAGCAGGACAACTTTTAAAGTGTTTGTTTTCTGAATGGAGTTCAGATCAATCAGGGCTATGCTAATCTATGCTAACCTGTTCACAGTAAAGTACAACGACAGCTGGAATAAAGTTACAGACACACATTTTCTGAACTGACCAGAGACTTAAACCTTCTCGCTTACTTTTCTCCATGTAATGTCCAGTTTTGTCCGTTTTTTGTAATATAAATATATAGTAGTAGTCCAGCAGAACTCCATGGAAAAACGATGTGCACAGAAGCTGCGGAGAAGCGTGAGTGAAGATAAATCAAGTTGTAATCCCAAAAACTAAAGTAAAAAGCGAATTTAATAAAAGCAGTTGAATCTGAGCTCCTCCCGCGGGTAAACGGCGTAGCTGTCAGAGCAGAATCCAGACCGACTACGGGGGTTTATTTGTCCCGAACACTTCCCGGTTCTCTAGCAGCGGATTGTCATTACACCGCTCGCATGGTCCTCTCCAAACAACGCTCCGAAGTCGCCGGTGACGTTTGGACTACCTCACCGCTGATGGGCTTTCGCAACAATCGCATCAAGTGAATTTCTCACCCATTGCATTGACTTTGTAATCAAGCCGCCCAAAACGTTGGATTCGCTTTCAGTGTGAACGCACCTTTAATCATAAAACCTTAAACCGTCTACAGACTGTACAAAATTCAGCTGTGAGGTCCGATCACATGAGTCTTGTTTTAGCCTCTTTCCATTGGCTCCCTGTTTGTTTTAGGATTGTTTTTAAGATTTTATTGATAACTTTTCAGGCTCTCCATGGCGTGGCTCCTACTTGACCTTTTAACTCCTTATGAACCTCTGCGTAATTTGAGATCCTCCGGCTGGAGTTTTCTGTCTCTTATTGTGACTCGGATTAGAACAAAGGGGACAGAGATGTTTACGTCAGGGCCCCGAGGCTCTGGATCGACCTGCCAGAGGAAATAAGGCTCTCGGAGTCATCGTCTTCTTTGAAATCTCTTTTAAAAACACACTTTCATCGGAAGTCATATCTTGATTTCATCTCAGCTGCCTGTTTTATCTTAAGGTTTTTATTTTAGCCAGTTAAAGTTGCTATTTGTTTTATTCTTATCTCAATCTGTTTTTGTTATTTGTGAGTTTGTTTTTTTGTCCTCATGTATTTTATCTTCTGTCTTGGTGTTTAGTGTCTTTTTTTGCCATGTGTCTCTTTTGTGTGGCACTTTGGACTTTTGTTGATAAGTGCTATATAAATAAAGCTATTATTATTATTATCTGCACACAATGAGCACTGTAAGCTGCTTTATTACTTTGATGTCGTGTACATCTTATTTTGATTAAACATAGATTACTTCTATTCCTTTTTGTTTTCCTTTTATGCTTCTTAGGTTTTCCTATGTTTTCCTGTGTGTAAAGAAGTGTAGCTGGTCTTTAAAAGGAGCCGGCAGCATCGCTGTACAACACACCGACCCCTCCAGCAACGATTGTATCACAATCAGTGGCAATTAACTCCAGTTAGGGCAGCCATGGGCGCTCACGCTAACTCCCGTGTCACTGCGGAAAATTATACCGATTAGACAAACAGTTGTGATCAGCAGGGATTTAAGAACAAAAGCGGCTCTGCAGCAGCAGCTAAATGGAGGTGTTGTGTGGGGTGTGTGAATGAGGGTGTCCTTGTGTGCTGCAGTTTGCTTGTTGATGCCGCTGTCACGGTCCGTGACGAAGAACTGGACGAGCATGCGGTAAAGCGGCAGTGTTTGGGCGAGCTGGCAGCCGGCGGAGACTTTCAATGTGATGAATGTGGAGGAACACACACAGAGCTGTGTTTTCCTGAGCTGCACTGATATATTAAATACGTGTTTATCCGTTACTCTAAAATCTAGATGTTTACACACAAATCTCATGAAGACTTGATTAAATCTGACGCTTTCATATAAAGTAACTCTGAAACCATTAGTCCACTGTTCAATTAGTCAATTGACAGAAAATGCATGGTTTCATGTGAATTGCTGCTTTCCCTTTCCGTTTGTTAATAACATTAATGTTTGGCCTTCTGTGATGTGAAGGCGTCACTTTGGGCTCTGGGTAACTGTGACAGCAGAATCTTTACAACCCAAACGATCAATCGATTCATGGAAAAAATAATCAGCAGGTTAATCCAGAATTAAAAGAATCATCAGCTGCAGTCCGATGAGCTCCAGCTGAATAACTACAGCATCCAGGGCTGGACCCGAATATTTCACTTGATTTTCAATTTTGGGATTCACCTGACCGCCTAACCTCCGCTCACACAGTGAACATGCACCAGTTTCCACAGAAGTGAAAATAAAATGCAGGAGCCCTCAGCCCAGTGGGAGCACTTTAAACTGAGTGATGGCAGCTGCAGTGTGGCAGTTATGGGGTTTAATGATTTTACAATTGCTTCGTTTCATCACAGATCAAAACAGTCAAAAGCCTCCATTTCAAATGTATTGAGTTAACTGTAGTCTACAACAAACACCCAACAACATAATGAATACTTTTAAACAATTTTATTAGTTCTAAGTTAAAAGGGAATTTTGCACAATAATGTTTTTAGTTCTGCTACTGGAAATAGCTCTCAGTCTCTCTGCTCTCCCTGGACCTGGACCACCTGGCTAAAATATTGTATTCTGCTCTGCACAGCAGCCACCGACCCGGTTCTGCAGTCCACTCTGTAACGCTCGTCCCCGGCTCACTATCCGAACCCCTCGTCCCTGCAAATCTCTTTTATCAAAGTCCAGTCTGCTCCCTCTCTTAGTTCTGCACCTGTGTCTGCCAGCTTAGCTGGAACAAAGTTTAGTCCCCCATGGATTCTCCCTCACTCATGTCATTCATCCTTCTTCTGCTGTTCTGCTTCTATCCTCAAATCCACAGCTCATGAAAAAAAACAGCCTGCGTAACGAGACTGTCAACCGAGGCTTCGAATGTTCGCTGTTAATTACCATTGACGCTTCGAGGCTCACCGAATAGCGCTCGGTCCAGCCCTAGAAACGTCCTGCTTTAGAGGAAGAATAATCTGAATTGTTGTTTGTTCAGTCTGCAGCTGACCTTAAACACACCGCCCCCCTCTGTTTATTAGCTGAACTGCAGCTTGTAGTTATTCGATTAGTTATTTCCTCATTCCAGCTTCTCCAATGTTGTTTTTCTTACTCTGGGTTTTGACCTGACAAGACAAGCAATATGAATGTTTTTTCTGAGAGTTTATTGATCAGTTAATTGATGGGAATAACAGCAGCCCTACCTTTAACTGTGTCAGTGAGACAGCCAGAAGTGGAGACAGGTGTTCAACCTTCTACTTCAGTTTTTGCAGCCTTTACACTGGATGGAAATGTACATATTTAAGGGAAAGTTCATTTAATGTTGTCGGCTGCAGCAGTTTTCAAGTCGTATGATGGTTTTCTCTCTGCTTCTGATGGTTACGGAGCTTCTCTTCATCCTGACTCCCTACAGATGGAGGGCCAGCGTTGGTCCTTTTATGGTAACATGTTCACAGACAGTTTCTATCTGTTCGGCCTCGGTTTGTTCAGTCTGCGGTAAAAGATGGCTGGTCCTCAGCCTCTGCCGGCCTTGACAGAGCCGAACCTGCAGCTTCCACTCCTCCACAAACTCGGTCAGAAGTCTCGGTCCAGCCCACGAGGAAGAGCCCTGAAAGCTAAATGACATCTTAAACAAAGCTTTCTGTTTAATCCATCAACCATCTCATTCGTCTGATCTTTACGCTTTCAGAGACGGTTGAACGCGTGAACGTTTTTTGTTTGCGTACACGTTGAACAGGTCAAGTCTGGATCCTGTAGCTTAAATATTGATAAGCATTGGTTCTTTGGGTGCCAGGTCTCACTGCAGCGCTCTGTGTGTGTGTTTCCTGTTGTAGTTGTGAGCGTGGAGAGTCGGGAGGCCCACCTGAGCTCCCTGGTGGTGGAGGCTGAGCGGCGGGCGGCGGACCTGGCGGCTCAGGCGCAGAAAGACGGCCTCTTGTTGGAGGCCTGCCACAAGGACAAACAGCTGAAAGCCTGGGAGTGGAGGAGCAAGCTGTACAAACGCATGAGGACGGGCTTCCAGCACGCACGTGAGTCGCTACTGATGAGCCGTAAGGAGAAGCAGACACACAGCGTGGACACCTGGTCTTTCAGTCAGATCCTGGCAGATGTGTATTTCTGCATTTATTCCACCACTGGACGTGTCTGTTGTCTACTTAAATAATTTAATTTGATTATTCTATTCCAGGAAACATAATTTCATATCTACAGACTTCAGAAAAAAAACATTCCTTGTTATAGGACACATGAGATGTCTTCTGTTACACAGTGGGACTCATGAAGCTCTGTGCATCCTGCTGCCTTTTAGCTTGATCACATCGTCACTTCTTACAAAGTACAAACAAATGCAAAAAGACAATAGAGACGCAAAATGACCAGAGGCAGAAAATGACCTCAAAGACATGCAAAACAAGTACAAACAGATGAAAAACGACTACAACACAAACACTACTTGACAAGTACAAACAGATGCAAGGTCACTACAAAGAGAAAGATTACAAAAAGACACAAAATATTTAAATTGCACCAACAGAAACTCTAACAGAACGTACGTACAGGTGATCAATCTTCTGTAAACAGTGTTTACGCCCTCGTCCTAAAGAAACAGAATTTCAGCTCTGCTGTGTTTTTGACTGAGTGACTAAAAATCTTTAGTTTGAACTTGAGGTTTTGTGTCTTCTCTTTGCCCCTGCTCAGGTGCCCCGGAGCCCCCGTCTATGGTTCGTCTGAGCGTGAGCAGTAGCACCACGCTGACCGTCACCTTCCAGGAGCCGCAGTGTCTCAACTCCACCGTTGTGACCAAATACAGAGGTACAGACACTCACTGGAGATTTATATTATTTCTTTTTTACCTTGAAGTAATAGACAAAAGTTGGACTGAAATATGAAATATTAAAGTTTATATAATAGTTTTTACAATATTATGGCTGCAGCTAATGATGATTTTAGTAATCGAGTATTCAACATGTTATTTCATTGATTTGTCCAGTAATCTTATAAGAAGTACTTTGACCTCTTGACCGGGTGCTTTCTGAACGGCTACGTTAGTTTTGACAGACTGTAACATTACAGAGTTGTTGTTTTCTTTCAGCTTGAAATAATCCCATACTTTGGACACTTTCTTCTTCACCCCTTGTTATTTTTCCTCTCTTCCTCCACTTTGCAAACAGCGCCATCATAATCACGTCGTCTTAACTCGTCCCAGTGTGGGATAGTGAAAATGCGAAACAGTGCGCTCTATAGTTATATAGATTAATTGAAGCGTCCAATACCAATGAATTGTTTCAGCCCTATACAATATTTAACATTTGAGACATTTAGTGTCTTTTATCGAGCGATGAAAAAGTTTTTTTTTAGAGAGGCATGTTTATATTTTTTTTATTGTTTAAGGTACGTCTTTGATACCGTAGCTAAACTATCAGCATCTCTAGCTGATGTTGTTAACGCACCATTTCATATTTCCTGCCAGTGTTTATCCCAAACATCACAGCTTCACCTGAGGAGCTTTAGAAGCTAATATTATTTTTCACTTGATTTCTGAAAAGCTTAAATTTTAGTGGATAAAAAAGAGGGAATGTGGGATTTAACATGGCGGAGAGAAGGTTACAAGAATGCAGTGCTTTTTCCGTGTGTGGTTTTCACACAGAGAGAAAGAGATAGAGAGAGACAGGAAGAGATAATCAGAGACGGCCCGAGGACATGAGCTGAGGAGAGAGAAGGTTAATGGTAATTTCCCCATCTCAGGAGGAACTATTGATTTGTAATTAAAAGAGAGTCCGACCTTTTACTGTTTACTGTTGACACCTAACCTGTGTGTGTGGTTGTTTGCAGTGGAGTGGAGCTGCCTGAAGGATTTCTCGCTGCTTGCTGGAGAGATCGTGTTGGATAATCTGCAGACCCTCAAGTGCATCATCAGCGGCCTCACCACGGTAACGACAGCATCAGTCATCCACTCTATCTTCCTCTTCTCTCTCCTCTCGTAGCAAAGAAACACTTTGTACTGTCACCAGTAGTGCTGAGAGGATCATTACGCTATTTTCCTGTACATTTACATGTACACATTCCTCTAAAGCTTAAAATAATGCTAAACACAGCAGAGATCTAAGAGTGTCGAAATCACTTTTGGACTCATTGATGCTTCCATTTCCTTAGCAAAGATTAGGCCAGGTGGAGCTGTGGTCATCCTGCAGCTGAGAAATGGTTCATGCACGTGACTGAAACAGTGTTTTAACATTTGTGTTTGTGTATGGATTGAACAAATAGCATGTTAATTAGTGAGCTTTAAGCTGGCTGTACAGGATCGCAAAGAAAGCGCTGTGAGGCAAGTGTGTGATTATCTTTCCAAGTGACAGCGGCTCTCTTTTCACCACACCAACAAACACATTCATTCAAAGCACCGAAACATCTGATTCAGCCATGTTTTATAATGCTGTCTTTCCATATTCCCGGTAACTGTTATGTGTTTGCGGAGTGGCATCAGTGACATTTGAAGCATACGGTTTACTGGAAGCTAACGTTCATTATACAGTCTGTGCATCACTCTCTGCCACAGAAACACAATGACTGTGGTGCATCTGCTGTTTGCCATTTAGAGCGGCAGCTGGCATTCACATACCTCCACAACAGCCCAGAAAACCTTTAGAAAAGAACACGCTGCCTGAAAGGAAAGGACGAGAGACTGTGGGCGTAAAATAAGCCGAGCCAATAAATTGACTTAAATGGTCATAATCCATCATAATGTTAGCGTGAACCACACTCATTTACAAATCCACCACAAAGAGACACAAAACCACCACAAAGAGACTCAAAAATGACCATAGAGAGATTCAAAACCACCAGAGAGACTCCAAAATGACCACATAGACACAAAACCATCCCAAAGAGACTCAAAAATGATTATAGAGAGAGTCAAAACCACCACAAAGAGACTCTAAAATGACCATAGAGAGATTCAAACCACCAGAGAGACTCAAAAATTACCACAGAGAGACAAAACCACCACAAAGAGACTCAAAAATGACCATAGAGACACTCAAAACCACCATAAAGAAACTCAAAAATTACCATAGAGATATTCAAAACCACCAGAGAGATTCAAAAATTACCAAGATTCAAAAATTACCAATCAAGAGACTCAAAAATTACCATAGAGAGACTCAAAACCACCACAGAGAGATGCAAAACCACCATAAAGAGACTCAAAAAGTATCACGAGAGACTCATAACCACCATAAAGAGACTCAAAAATTACCAAGACTCACTAATTACCAAGAGAGACTCAAAACCACCACAGAGAGGTGAAAAACCACCATAAATGGACTCAAAAATTACCTAGAGATACTCAAAAATGACCATAGAGAGATTCAAAACCACCACAGAGACACAGAAATGACTACAGAGATGCAAAGCCACCACAAAGAGACACAAAACCACCACAAAGAGACTCAAAAATTACCACAAAGAGACTCGAAACCACCACAGAGATGCAAAATCACTAAAGAGAGACAGTCTTTTCAGCAGATGTTACACAGCCGATGTACCAACCTTATTTTGCATCCAGTAACTTCTCTGCAAACGATGTATTTAACAGATGGGATTTTACGTTTCAGGGTCGACTGTACTACGTTCGAGTGTCGGCTTACAACATGAAAGGCTGGGGTCCACCTGCCTCCTCCCTCCCTCCGTCTGCAGCTCCTTCAAGTGAGTTCATTCTTTCACTCTTTGTTCTGTTTTATTGCTTTTCAGTCCTGATCATCTCACTAATACAGCGGATTAGTGGAATGTGATTAAGTTTCACACTATCTCAAAACCAACAAGATCTTATCACCATTTCAGTCTGGCTTCAGGTCCAACCACTCCACAACTACTGCCCTACTTAAATTCACCAGTGATGCGATCTCTGCTGTGGATAATGGTGAACTCACAGGTGCAATCTTTATTGATTTGACTAAAATTTTGACTTTGTTGATGATCAGCTTCAAGATAAACTCCATGCTATCGGCCTTTCTGAACATGCAGTTCTGTGGTTCAGTTCATACCTTCAGAAGAAAAAACTGTGTCGTCCTACATGGGAATAAATCGGATCTGTTGGGAACAAAGAGGTGTGCCACAGGGCTCAACACTGGGAACACTTCTCTTCTCTATTTCTGTAATCAACTCTTACTGTCAATATTCAATAACTGTTGTGCTCAACTTTATGCTGATGACACCATCATATATACATCTAAACCTGACCACAAGTCTGATTTCAATATGGTGGTGATGGTGCAGTGGATAAGACGGATGCCTTTGGTGTGAGAGACCCGGGTTCAGCTCCCCACTGTGACACATCCACAAATGTATCCCTGAGCAAGACACTTAACCCCTAGTTGATCCAGAGGTGTCCGACCTCTGACATACGTATATAGCAATTGTAAGTCGCTTTGGATAAAAGTGTCAGCTAAATGAGAAAATGTATCTTACATATTAAACTATTACGCAACAAAACAAAGTCATATCTCACAAATGTTGGTACCAGTCAGAAACTCAAATTCAAACCCGGTTCTTGTGTAATAACCTGTACTAATAGCTTTTTGTATGGCTTGATTCTGAACTCTTCTTCCAATCACACATTGATCATATCTTATATAAAGTCATCTTTGTTTCTCATTTGTTTTGATACTGTGTTACACACAGTGTTCATAAGAACCTTGCTTCTCACCTCATTCAAGGTAAAAATTTTTATATTCCAATTCTTGACTAAAACGCTGTAAGATTAGACCTTGTGTGGCTCAACACATGAAACACAATGTGATATTTTCATCCTCGCCTGGTAAAAAAGCTATATTTTAAGGCAATAAACCAGCAAAACTATCATAAGATAGATTATAATACAACTGAATATCTTTTCATACAACTCGAATGCAATTGTAACTGTAAATAACTGAAATAACTGAAATACAACAGTTATCATACAATATTTTCAAAATATACCAAGCGAATGTCCATATTTTGACAATTTTTACTATTTAAATGTTGACTTTTGGGAGTTATCTTAAAAAACATATTTCTGTCCACACAACCACGATATAAATAACTTTACAGGCGTGCTTGAGAACGGGACATCCCACAGTGATGGGGGGGGGGGGCATCAATCGATGCAGACCTTGTCTATGCAACTACTATGGGTCAAAAAGAAGGTCAAACGCAACAACATTGTGATTCCGTACGTGTCTGGAGTATCAGAGAAACTCAGGAGGATTTTCAACAAACACAACATCCCTGTGTTTTTTAAACCCAAGAACACACTAAGACAGATGCTGGTCCACCCCAAAGACCGCACACCCAAACACAAGAAAAGCAATCAAAGCAAAGTCCAATGCAGTGAGGAATGCACAGACCTGTATATTGGGGAGACTAAACAACCACTACACAAACGCATGGCTCAACACAGAAGGGCCAACTCCTCAGGTCAAGACTCTGCAGTCTACTTACATCTGAAGGACAGAGGACACTCGTTTGAGGACCACCAGGTGCACATTTTAGACAGAGAAGATGGATGGTTTGAAAGAGGTGTCAAGGAAGCATCTACACCAGGGTTGAGAAGCCGTCATTGAACAGGGGAGGGGGTCTACGCCACCACTTATCCCCCACTTACAATGCTGTCCTTTCATCACTTCCCAGGAAACTCAACAAACGTAACCTATTGGCCTCAGGTGAAGATACCAACGATGGTCGTTCAGTCTTGGCCTCGGGCAGTCCTAACGATCATAACGACTATCGTTACAACAACCAGGAACACTAACAAACCAGCGGCTGGCAAACGACCCCACTGAGGTTAAATAGCTGAGTTTCCCTGCCAGTCAGTCAGAACTGAAGAAGTCCTTTGGATGAGGGACGAAACGTCTTCCAGTATCTTCAACCAAGTCCAGTTGCCCTTGATTTTAACCTTCGTTGGATACTATGGGTCAACTACCAGGCCGCGAAAAAGACCGTGTGTTCCAAAGCGGCACTTCGCCCTCCCTTTTTGTAATTTCCTTTGTATGTTTGTCTGTCTGTGCTTTGCCTTACTGATAACTGGAGGCTCCAGAGTGCACCCAAAAAAACTGTCCTGTCAAACATTTCGCTGGACAACATTTTGTCATCCGAATCTCTGTGTGTTTTCCCCAAAACTCACTGGTAGAAGAAGTTGAGAGCCAATCAAAAGCAGAGAAGGGGCTCTGGATTTATTGTCCTGCGGTGACTCGACACAGATACTCATGGCGTCGGCAATGCTTGTACATTTGCATTTATACTTGTGCGTTGGTGTGTGTGTCGCTCTGCAGTTACACTTCCGAAACACTAGTTGGCAGTGGGGTTTCTATGTTCGACTGTGTTCTTCTTACTTACCTCTTGACTTCTTGGGATAAATAATTCCCGTGCGGCTCTTCAAAGATTCAAAGCAAAGAGTACTTCTTTTGAGCTCGGAGGAAATGTGATGCTACCAAGCCAACCAGTCCCAGTTCTTGCGGTCTGCATCGCTGCGAGATGTAGTTACATTTTTGGGAAGGTGCATGTCAGGCCCATTTTTTGTTGGTGCTGTGATCCAAATAAAATCTAAGATTCACCTGCAGGACTTCCTGTTTACAATCATTTACAGAACTAAACTCAATGTGTTTGGGAAATGACAGAAAGTTAGAATATACTGTTACGGCGTTAAAGGTGCTGTGATAAATTTGCGTGCACCTAAAACTTCTAGCGACCAATGCAAAAAGGTATTGTGGAGCCCTGTAACTTTATTTCTGTTTTTTATTTTTTCACTCTGTGATTGTGACATATTGTTAGTCCTCGAAAACGACATTGTGCATCTCAAGGAGTTGCATAAAGAGAGCTGCAGCTTAATCTTGTTATTCAACCTTGTGCTGTACAATGCTAAATAAATCTACCTTGAATGAAACACAAATGAAATTCCATTCATCAGAGAGACCGTTGCCTCACAATGTTATCTGCTTGCACTGAAATCACTTTACTGATATTAACTTAATTAACTGGCCCTGCTGGAGATAATTAGTGTGAGGGTGCCATGAGGGTGGTGATGGGGCAATGGATAGGAGACACTCACTTTGGTGTGAGAGACCCTGGTTCAATTCCCCATTGAGCAAGACACTTAAGCCCTCGTTGCTCCAGAGGCGTGCGACCTCTGACATGTATAGCAATTGTAAGTCACTTTGGATAAAAGCGTCAGCTAAATGAATAAATGTAATGTGTAATATGATAAGTTTAAGCAGAGGTACGTTAGCATCCTTAGCTCAGTAGTAAACAATGAGTTGGCTGTGAATGTTCTCCGTTCTGTTCTGAGGTCCTCAGGTTGGGAACATCGGTTTTATCTCCCCGTCACGACTCTTTGCTTCTGCACATTCAGTGCTCAAGCCTTGAGCTGTGTGTGTGTTTGTGCCTGTTTCACACATTTGTCTGGTTTTGTGTGGATGTGTTGAAGTGTGTGTGTTTGCATATGTCAGAAGCAGAGGACTGCAAGTGCGTGGGCGAGTGATTTAAAGAGGCAGAAAAAGTGAACAGTGAGAGGAAAAGCATGCCGACGCCTCTACGGTGCTCGAAACACATTAGTCCATCCGACAGAGAGATTTCACTTGGAAACACCAGTGTGAACCTCACGGTGGCGCTACACGAAATGTTATTAGGATTCCTGCACATCTGGATCACTGTCGGGTTGGGTACCATTTCAATTTTATTAAATCTCAGTTCTGGTTACTTCACCACAGATCTTGTCAGTGCTCGGTGGCCTTCCTCCTCTTCCCCCTCGCTCCTCTTCCCCTTCATGGCTAAAGTGAAAGGAGTCTCTGTCCTGGAGGGGCGTCCCTGGGGAAGGAAGGAAGGAAGGAAGGAAGGAATGAAGGAAGAGAGAATGGAGGAAGGGACTAAGGAAGGAGGTAGGAAGGAAGGATCATTCAGATTCATTATTATCTGGAGGAAGGGTGGAACGAAGGAAGTAGGAAGGATGGAAAATAGGAAGAAAGGATGAGAGGAAGGATGTAGGAAGGATGGTAGGAAAGGAGAAAGAAAGGAAGGAAGGAGGTAGCAAAAAGGATGGAGGAAGGGAGGAAGGAAGGAAGTAGGAAGGCTGGAAAATAGGAAAGGAAGAAAGGCGGTTGGAAGGATGGAAGGAAGGAAGGAATGAAGAAAGAGAGAATGGAGGAAGGGAGGAAAGAAGGAGGTAGGAAAGGAGGGAGGGTAGAAGTAAGGGAGCAGGTAGGAAGAAGAGGCTTGAAAGAAAGGAAGGAAGGAGGTCGGAAGTATAAAAAGAAGGAAGGATGGAAAATGGGAAGTAAGAAAGGATAAGAGGAAGGAGGTTGGAAGGATGGTAGGAAAGGAGAAAGGAGAAAGGAAGGAAGGAGGTAGCAAAAAGGATGGAGGAAGGGAGGAAGGAAGGAAGGAAGTAGGAAGGCTGGAAAATAGGAAAGGAAGGACGGAAGGTGCAGTTTTTTTAGTGAAGCTGAGCCAAACTTTGGATCGTTTGCTGCGGTCCGCCACGGTCCAGGACCGGAACCAGAAGGACTCTCTTCTTCATGCTTTGTTGATGAAACACATGAGGTGACGTTCGGTCGGCGTGGCAGCTGCTGGCAGATCAGAGACACTTTGATGGACGGTAAAATGCTCACTGCAGTTCAGTCAGGAGCTGAGATATGCAGGAATTAGGAACCGAGGAGCAGGATCCAAACGCACGGGTCTTGGAGATTTGGTACAGATGCCAAATTGGAACAGGTTCTCAAACCCTAATGTTCAGCTGTGGAAACTGACTTATAAGCTTTGTGTTATTTTTAATACAAGACTTTTCAACATGTAATAATTTCCCTTTAATCCGCTCTGCTGTCACGATCTCTGTGCTGCACACGTTCACTTATGGTTGTTCTGCAAGAACCCAGTTTGAAACCCAGTTACCCGTATACATGGGCAAGAAATCAGTGTTCTCCAGCACAAAGCAGGTTCCCCCTTTTAAGTGATTGGCTTACTGAAGAAACACGACTCTAACCCCGTTTCTTCAGCTCATGTAGACGCTCTGACTGTGATCAATAAAGGCGGTCGGGTCAGTAACCTGCATTTATGTTGATTTTGTCAGATGATGACGTAAAAAAACGAATCACAGCCATTTATCCACCTCAGTGAGGAGGACAGACGGCTAAAGATGCTTTTTGGGTTTGAACTTTAACATCTTAGTGGAGACGTCCTCTCAGTCTTTGTCCTCTGGTTTGTTTGTTCAGATTGGAGGGAGAGCGACGGTCGGGAGCCCCGGAGGCGAGGCCACATCGAGGCCATGGAGCGTCTGCTGCAGCAGGTCCGAGCGACTCACACACACTACTGCTGTGGAGGTGAGTGTCTCTGAAAACACTGATTCATACAACAGAGTGTCCATAAAGAACCCAGTCTGAGGCGTCCGGGTTCATAACTCACTGTCAGAAATTAATTTGCCGCCTCCTGACGTGTCTGTCTGTTAGCTGTAATATCTCCTCTAGGTTAAAGCTCCACTAATCAATCATTTTAATATTAGCTTCGCCTGAAATGACTCATGTTTCCTGCAGACAGACTCAGTCAGGGAGCAGCAGGTGAACATAGTGAAGCAACTAAAGAGACAGATATTTCCCTCCGGAGCTGGTGGAGACCAAACACAGAGCTAACAGAGAGAGAAACCTGGACACAGCTGCTTTATAAGATGATAATAATATCAGAGGTTTGTGTGTTTCAGATGGCTTTGAGTTCTCTTGCTCACACAAACATCAGTGAATGCATCTTTTAAGAGCCAAGCTGTAAATCTGGACACTTCTACATCTCCTCAGCAGGGTGGATGTTTTTAGCTGCCGGCAAAGAGTTTTCTTTCCTCATCTTATTTCTTCCTTTCAAAATCAAAAGTGCAGCACAGCAGAGTCGCTACACATCGTCCTTAAAGTCAGAATTCACAGACTGCGCTGGTGTTGTTAAACATCTTTTCTAATTTACTCATGTTGACATATTTCATTTTCTCCCTGGTCCCATCTTTTCTGTACATGTGGCCCCTGAGTGCCGCCTCCTGAACAGAGGGAGGTTATTATTCTGTACAAGAACCGGCCGAACACTGCTAGAAAATCAAACCTGGAGGTTATGAAAAAGATAAAAAAAGAATATGAAAGCTTCTTGCAGAAATCTAGCTTTGAAAACTGCCGTCCTTGTCCCCCGTCTGACAGCACAGATCTCCTCCCGTGGCTGTCGTTCCGAAATGCTGCGAGTGTCTGATCGGGTCATAAAGTTTGTTTGACGATCCAGAGGCAGACAGCCGTCGATAACTCCCACCCAGACCTCCTGCACAGACACAACCTGAGCTTTACTTTTATTTGGCAGAGCTGAACAGAAAGCTGTGAGTACCGGCAGCGTGGGAGGAACGAGCTTCTGAAAGAGAGTAAGCTGACTTTGGGACACCAGGACGCCGTCTTTTACTGCGAGTGTTTCAGTACCTGACTGCTGGGGCCTTCGGGGTTAGCAAGTACAACCTCAGCCGCCAAATTAGTTTCAAATTGTCTGAGCACAAAAACTACGTACAAGAAAATAATAAAATTTTGATTTACAGGAAATATTCAACAAGTATTTCAACCTTCAGTTCTTTCAGTCTGTAACGGTCACTGCGTCAGGCCCGGCCTTCACCAGCTGATTCATAGTTAATGGATTGATCCAGAGCTTGACCAGGGTCCATGAATGCCTCTTCACAGCAACCCAACACACACACACACACACACACACACACACACACACGCACACACACACACAGTAGTTTCCAGGGGAACCCAGGTACATAAATAAGCTTTAATAGGTTTAGCTGTTCTGGATTATGCCCTTTATATGTTTTAGTATGTCACACGTGTAACGCTGCTTCGTAAATCATCCCGCCAGACTGAAAAAACTACACACACCTTGGATTTCAGCCGAGAGTTTCTGTGTGAGAGAGTTTCCATGCACCTGTTTCTGCTCATAATTGGAGTTACGGTGAGCCGAGCTGGAGGAATCAGAGCAAAGTTAAAGAGAAGGTTAGATAGAAATTTAGAGAGGTTAGTCAACATGTTTAGCTCAGCATTGGCCTTGGACTCTAGCTCAGAGACTTGATATCTGACTTGGACTCTAACTCATAGACTTGATATCTGACTTGGACTCTAGCTCAGAGACTTGAGACTTGGACTCTAGCTCAGAGACTTGATATCTGACTTGGACTCTAGCTCAGAGACTTGAGACTTGACTTGGACTCTAGCTCAGAGACTTGAGACTTGACTTGGACTCTAGCTCAGAGACTTGAGACTTGACTTGGACTCTAGCTCAGAGACTTGATATCTGACTTGGACTCTAGCTCAGAGACTTGATATCTGACTTGGACTCTAGCTCAGAGACTTGATATCTGACTTGGACTCTAGCTCAGAGACTTGAGACTTGGAATCTAGCTCAGAGACTTGATATCTGACTTGGACTCTAGCTCAGAGACTTGATATCTGACTTGGACTCTAGCTCAGAGACTTGATATCTGACTTGGACTCTAGCTCAGAGACTTGAGACTTGGAATCTAGCTCATAGACTTGATATCTGACTTGGACTCTAGCTCAGAGACTTGAGACTTGGACTCTAACTCAGAGACTTGATATCTGACTTGGACTCTAGCTCAGAGACTTGAGACTTGACTTGGACTCTAGCTCAGAGACTTGATATCTGACTTGGACTCTAGCTCAGAGACTTGAGACTTGACTTGGACTCTAGCTCAGAGACTTGAGACTGACTTGGACTCTAGCTCAGAGACTTGATATCTGACTTGGACTCTAGCTCAGAGACTTGAGACTTGGACTCTAGCTCAGAGACTTGAGACTTGGACTCTAGCTCAGAGACTTGAGACTTGGACTCTAGCTCAGAGACTTGAGACTTGGACTCTAGCTCAGAGACTTGAGACTTGGACTCTAGCTCAGAGACTTGAGACTTGGACTCTAGCTCAGAGACTTGTGAGCATCTCTGCATTTTATGTAGTCGTCTCTGTAATAAAAGCAGGAATCTGTGTGTGTTTTTAACCCGAGGGAGTGCAGCGTCGTATTTGGTGTAATTTGGACATGCAGGTCTAAGATGTTTTATACATCCAAAGAACTTCTATAAAAACCAAACTGGCGTATTATGGAGACCTGTGTTTATTTGTCAAAATGTGTTCCCACAGCAGGCCAGGAGACGGGGCGGGCGGCTGTTTGGGACTTGGCTATTAATTGAAGTTTTACTGTAAACTACAGGACAGCACGAGCCTCTCCGCTCTACCACAGCAAGGACGGGGTGCAGGGGCGGGGCTTATATGCTCCGGCGTTGTAAGTGAAGTTCTAAGGAAGCGCTGAATATCCAGCTGCATCTCCGCGCTCTGGAGCACTTTGGAGAGCACGGTCAATTAGTCATTATCCCGTGTGTGTGCGTGTGTGTGTGTGTGTGTGTGTGTGTGTGTGTGTGCGTGTGTGCGTGTGTGCGTGTGTGCGTGTGTGCGCGTGTGCGTGTGCGTGTGCGTGTGTGTGTGTGTGGCTCTGCAGGGTGTATATTTATACAACTTATTCTCAGAGAGCCAAAAATAAATATGTGAAATTAATCATCAGTGGGTACAAAGCCGCCACTATAGAGCAGAGAGAGCTCATTTAGCAGCCTGGATATCTTAATTTATGATGTGTGTGTGTTTGTGCTGGACACACACACGGGGAGCTGTGTTCCCCCGTCGATGGAGGAGCACTCAGAGACACAACACCATGTGGTGCACCTTGTTTTCTCTCCATCCCTCTAAATATCTGAGCAATTAGTCGGATTTGATGAGGTTTATCTTGTGGTGAATGTGTGTCATTAGGCTGCCTGTCTGCCTGCTGAGGCCGGCTGCTGCTGCTGCTCGCTCGCTCGGCGCGTGGAAAAACAAACGGGCTATATAACATTCAGGTTGTCTGAACTTACACCTGGCTATGCATCAAAACTTAAGGCTTCACCACAGAATATACAGGCAAGCATACTCCTCACCGTTCGGGCAAAATTCTTTTTAAAACCACTAGTGTTCGCTAACTGTTCATTTATGGAGACCAGAGGTAGCACAGTAGGCTACATGGAAGGTAGGCTAAAGTCAACAGGATAAAAACGTGTCGACATCGGTGTTGTTTACGCTGGGGTCATGTCCACGCCACTTTTTAAAATGGCCGATTTTGTCCTCACCACTTTTTGAAAGCATTTGTTTAAAAACGTTTTCAAAAGCTTTCAGCAAGAAATGTTCAATAATAAACGAAGACGCTTTGAAAAACGTTAATTTGCACTTATTTATTTCACTTTAAAAAAAGCAAAGCTACTGACAATAAAATGACCCAAAACGTGCAGCACCAGTCAGTCACTTTAACAAGTTTTACGTTCTCTTATATTTTTAGATTTTCATTTGTCTCCTGCTGCCCAGTCGCTTTGACATAAATAAAAAACATTTCCACCATAAATTGATGCAGGAAAAGAAGAAATTGGTGCAGAAAATTTCACCAGAATGCAGGAAAATTAAATGTTTAATGTTCAAAATTTACTACTCACTCCAGCGTAGAAGATTTCAACAAAGTAGTGTTAAATATCGTCACATCTTGTTCTCACGACACCAATATCGAACATGATCTCCTCTCGTGAGCTCAGTGTGTTGTCACCTCTGCTTTTCTACACAAAGGGACGCCCCTGCGCGTTGCGTTGCAAGTCATCTATACAAACATGCTTAAACAGATTCCTCTTTCAGTGTCTGTGTGTTTATCTGCCAGCGTTTTTACCCCTGAGCAGTTTGCGTGCCTGAATGTGGCCAGTCCTGACAACGGGCCCGCCTCCTAGCGCTGTGACGTTGTTTTACCGTCTCCAACTTCTTCTAGTTTCTTTTAATCGATGGAGGTCTAAAACCTCCCCGGATCCATGGGCGTAAATAAGTCGGGCCCCATATTAACAAAGTAGTCACCGCACACACCGTCCTGCCGTTGAAACTTTCCGGCCGTGAATATAAATCGGTTGTATCTGTATCGGTGGGGTGACAGCTGTTAGAGAAGAGAACATACATGAAGTAAAAACTAAATAAAGAAAACCCCCTCGCCCTCGCTTTCCGTCTCGCTCGCCGTCAGATGGAAAGGTGGTCGCCTCATTAATCAGCTCCAATCCTCTCCAACCAAAACTCATTTCTTTATTTACTCAGAGCGGCGTGTGGCGCTGCACAGTAGGCCGCTGCGCTCATGTCATATTATCCACTTGTCAAACCCAGTTAGCCTCCAGCGCTGCAAACACACAGAGACGTCTTAAAACTGGAGAGCGCTGGTGGCGACCTCGACCTGCTGCTGAAATAACAAGGCTCGTGTGTGTGCTGCTGCTGAACGGCTGTGTAGCGCTCTGTAGGCGGCGGAAAGCTGAAGGTCGAGCTGCAGCAGAAACATCATCACTGTGAGCTCGTGTAAAAGCTGGAGTGTGAAAACCTCCGACATCAGAAGCCCAAACTGAAAACATCTTTACATACATAAGCAGCGTGCTCATATTTATTATAAATGTTATCAAAAAGAGATTACAGTAGACTAAACATGTGTGATTTATCAAAGAGAGAGTTCAGGGCCACAGTAGTTTTGGGGAATTGTACTGTTTTTCCCACTTTGCCAGAGTCAGAAACCAATAAACCAAAAAAAAATGTTTTTAGTGTAGTCTGACGTTATGTCAAACAAATATTAAACTATCTTGGCTCAACTGTTGAGTGTCTGTTGGACCAAATAACAAAACTATGGTCCACAGGCGTCCAGGAATTGAGCGAAACTATGCAAGTAAACTCAGATGGGGGAGGGGCCGCCTTTTCCCAAGCTTTGGCTGACGGGAGGCCGACAGTCTCAGACTTTGACAAACCTTTTATTCTCAACGTCTACATGGTTTTATTTACCATTTATTTACCGGTTGGATGTATTTCTTTACTAATTTGTCTGTTTGCCTGGTTTTGTTTGAATCGGTTTCACGATGTGTTGGGATGTTGATGTGTGATCGGACCGAAGGAGGAATATTGTCTGGTTTTATTAAACTAATCCTGACACATGAAATGAAGTGAGACGTCTTCATTGAGTACCACGAATGCAAAGCTGCGTGATGTGGTTCAGACCTTTGGTGAAACCTACAGCCTCACAGTGTTAGTCTGGTTTCTGATCCGGTCCTCAGGTGCAGAACATGCACAACTCCTCCGCCATCCCTCCATCACGCTGTCTTGTCTGTAACGGCGTGCGGTAGACGTGTTTCCGCTGGCCGCCGGGCAGAACAGTCACCGACATGTTTGTGAGCGGCTCCACGTCTGCCGTCTGTTTACAGGCCGGTTATTATGTGACGCTTAATTAGAGTTAAAAAGGGGCCCTGTGGTCTGGAGATTGGCATCGCTGAGCGGCCGGACGGAGAGAGACGGAGGACGGGAGGGAAAAGAGATAGACAGCCGAACGAGTGAAGGAGATAAGATATCGGTCAGTCAGACCGGCAGCACGGGAGAGTGACTCGACCCGGGTGACCTCAGAAACAAACAAACGCTCTCACACACACTGTTTCTCAATCTCTGTCCACAGAGTCTGACATTATTAAGACTTCAAGGAATTTCTGGAAAGTTTTGGATAGTTTGCAGAGTGAAGGCAGAAACACGGGTTTGGTTAAAACCACTTTCAGTCCAGTTCATTGAGAAGAAGGAACGTTGGTCAGGGTCTGTTTTTATCAAGCTTCTCAGAACTCTTTTCCTTTTATTAAATGTGTTAAAGCTGAGAGTCTCTCTTCCTCCCCCAGTGTGCTAAAAGCCGGTGTTCTGTCGATATGTGCTACTTAGTGATTCTGTGCATGAACTACAAGCGTGGTCTGTTTCCTCGCCCATAAATCTGTGCAAACTTGCTGTTGGTCCTGCCGTCGAGACAGAGGCTGATCGTCGCAATATCTTAAAAAAAAAAAAAACAATCATTATTACACTAACCCTGGTATCCTAAATAAAGAGAAAATAGTATTTCAACATGCTCCCTATCTCCCTACAGTACAGTGGTGCGATTTAAAATCATTCTGTAGTGGGAGCATTATTTGATAGGGGATATTAAATATAATTAAATGATGATGTTACAATAGAGAAGGCTGAGAGTTATACCTTTATGGGATTGGAAATGGGAACACATGAGGCAGTATATTTCGATCGGGCGGAGCGAATCGATGCTTTCAACTTGCGCTACGGCAGCATTTCTCAACAAGGCGGCATATATCATCAGAACACCTGCTTCCCAGAAGTAGAAGGCGGTATGGGCAGGTCAGATAACAGCCCACCGGTTTAAGATTTGTAATTAAGAAACTTAAACTTAATTTTATCTGTAATGTGTATATCATAAAGTCTTCTCCTGATAGGATGATAGCAGTAGGCGGCTCGAGCAGGCCTGTGTTTCTGGGTTTTTTATTCAATTCAATTCATTTTTATTTATATAGCGCCAAATCACAACACCAGCTAAAGCAAAAGGACAGGTGTAGACCGTTCTGTGTGATAATATTTACAGAAACCCAACAATTCCCATATGAAAGCCGTTCTGTATCGGATTATGCTCACGCTTGAGTTCGAGCACCCGTACGAGAACACAGCTGGTTGTAATTTTAAAACCGCACCACTAGTGGCCGCTGAAAACTACATGTTACCCCTTTAAGATTTAGACCTACTTTTAACTTAGAGGTTCAGTGAGTGAATTTTAGTGGCATCTAGTGGTGAGGGCTGTGAATTGCACTGTTTACTCGCTGCTCAGCCCTCCCTTTCCAAGTGCGCAGGACAAGCTACGGAGGTCGACCCACTCTGTTAGCTCTAAATAATTTCACTTGTTTTCTTCTAATAAACCAGACGACTTTTTTTCAGTTTGTCTGTTTGGGCTACTATAAAAACATGGCGGCATCCATGTGAGAGGAGTGTACGTAGATATAAATGTCTCATTCTAAGGTAATAAAAACATAACGGTTCATTGTGTAAGGTCTTTATACACCACTGAGAACACAGAATTGTTATACACTGAAACTGAAAGTCAATTCTCAGCAGGTTGATATATCTGCTGAATAATCAGTCTGCTGACAGCAAGTTAGCCAAACCTCGTTTTCAAATCTTTCAGTTCTTCTTCTCCTTCTTCTTCTTCTCTCGTCTTCAGACCCCTCGAAGCTCCAGAACCAGAGCAGGAAGCAGTCCGTCTCCAGGAGTCTGAAGCACCTTTTCAACTCCTCCAACAAGTTTGTGAAAACGCTGAAAAGGTTTGTCGAATGGAAACAGACGCCGACACAGATTTAGTCCGGAACTGAGGTTGAGGTTAAGATTGTAAAAACTCCTCAGTCAGTAAATATTATTGAAATGTGTTAATAAATTGCAGAAACAATTCTGTGTGACCCATCAGCAAATCAAAGTAAAGCTTATTTTGGGCCGTCACCTGTCTCTGCAGAGGGATCTACCTGGCTGCTGTGTTCTACCATAAGGACAGTTTACTGGTGACAGCGGAGGACCAGATCCCCATCGTGGAGGTGGACGACTCCTACAGCAGCTCCCTCATGCAGGACTTCCTGTGGTTCACTAAGGTACTGCCTCCTGAAACATGCTGGTGGAGCGCCGCGCAGCTTTACTTCATGTAGCAGAGTGACAGGATGTGAAAAAGTGGTCCTTGTACTACTAACAGTACAACTACTACTCAGACTGCCTTGTTGGGGGGTTGGGTCAGGACCAGACCAGATCTTTTATACAGATTCTTAATATGTGCTAGTTTGGGAATTTAGAAAGAAAGAAGACGTCGTGGCATTCTTCCACGGGAAGAACCACCTGAAGCACTTACTTTTCTATCCAGGCCCCAGGACAGAAGACAAAGGGATAGTTGTGGATTTTTTGATGTGGGGCTGAATGAGGTACTTATACGCAGTCAGTGTATTACCTGCAGTAGACGGCGGTCAGCGTGTCCTCTGTTTGGAGAAGCAGAGAGTTGTACCTGCACAGAAGCTAAGCAACGTGCTTCTGCAACCCGTTGTCACTCCCAACTCGTCACATATGGACACAAGACCCGTTGGCGTCAGTGTGTTACTCACTGGGGAGCCCCGTGGTGTCGTGGTTTAATGCAGTGGGGAAGCCCTGTAGCTAAACACGCTAAAGGTAGGTGTAGGACAGGAGTCTGGCATCTGGCCAAATTTTTTTCAAGCCGTGACATGGTGAGCCAAAACGTAGTCAAATTATTTTAAATCCTTGTGGACTTGTGTGCACGTTTAGCTCAGTCAGTGAGCGGGACTCCCGTTGGGAGGGTTGTATGATCGATCCCAACATACTGCAGGTATTTTTTTTTTCTTCCTTGTTAAACAGATTGATTAAAGGATGCTTCATAAACTTTATTTTCATTTCCCTGAGGAGATTCAGGGGAATCCAATCACACGTTTACTGACGGCTTTTTCAGAGGTGTGTCAAGCAAACCAGAGACTCTTTTAAATGTCCTTCAGAACTCTTCAAAGTAAAAGCTCTCAATAAACTTGACATAAAGCATTGCTGCAAAAAACATTCTCACGCTTTTATTTTGGAGGCACAAATGCATGATTATGTAAGTAACTGTAGCTGTCATGCACCAGCCGCTATCAATTTATTTATTTTTTATTTTTCTGCTATCAAAGCAATCTGGTCGCGGGCCGCCTATTACTGACCACTGGTGTAGGATATTTAATAGAAAAGTCCGAGTAAGGAGGTGGTTGGGTGGACAGAGGGCCAGAAACTGGACTTTCAAGGAGGCCGGTGTTCATTTCCTGTGTGAAACAAAAAGTCAGCATTCAATGTTTTTATTTAAGTTCTGTAGGTTAGGCAAGTGACGTTACTTAATTTACGCAAGTTAAGTGACATAAGCTACATAGTTGTTTCAACCCAAACCATGATTTTCCTAAACCTAACCAAATTGTGACGTTTCACAACATTACCAAGTTTTATTTTGAAAGTCTAACCGGCTGTTACAGATTTATTGTTGCTAACTTGACCGCATGTTGAAAAGTGACGCCAAAGGGTCTTGACCAAACGTCTGTCTGTGACGAGTTAGGAGTGAGAACGTGTTGACGGCTGAAAGGAGGGCCACCAAAAAATCTACATCAGTTCAAGTCCACGCTCGGGCTCCATATACCATTTATACAGTATGCAGTCAAACCTGGAGCCTCCCCTGCGAGCTCAGGACTGGACAGCTGCTGTCCGTTTCTGCACCTGCTCAATAAACCAGGTGTAAATCACCCAGGTTGTATCGGGTGGAAGGTGACCTGTGATCGTCTGAGAGCTGCAGTCTTCTGGGAGCTTGTTCTCCTCAGCTGTGTTTAAATCTGTGCCTCTGATCGAGGATCGATCGTTTGTCTGTGTCTCTGCAGCTGTCCTGTATGTGGGAGGACGTGCGGTGGCTGAGACAGAGCATGTCGGTGTCCATGTCGTCGTCCTCCACCCTGCAGGCCCGGCACAAGATGCTGACGGCCGCCAGCCAGCTGCAGGTCAGGACCCCGAAAACACCACAACACATGAAACTGACCTGACGGTGCAGCTTTTAAACTCACACTGAGTGAAGTGAAGCTTTGACACGTTTATTCAAGTTGCAGTTTTAAAGTTAGTTATTTTTCTAAATTGAATTCATATTTCAGAATTTTTTTGTAACTTTTGTATACCTTACAGTAGTAATGCTGTACTTCCTGTCAAGAAACTATGTACCAAACCTTTTTGTTTTTGTTGCAGAGACAAGTTAATATATTCAAATAAAGGAGAACACACTATGTTCACCTAAATGCACTAATCAGTAATTGAATACACTCAAATTAATTTTGGTATTAAATCAATATATGTGTGTGTGTATGTGTATATATATATATATATATATATATACACATATGAAAAATCAAAAAACAAACTACCGCACACTGATCTGACTTCACCTTTATTTTATATATATATTTATTTTTATAGATAAGATACTAATGAGTTCCTGTTATGTTGTAATTCTTGTGACTGATGTATGTTTAAAATATATATATATATATATAGTGATGTTTGTTGATTATCACATTCTTGTCGTTTATATTATAATACTTTGTATAAGATGTTGATTTTATAGATGTATAATTGGTGTGAAACCTGCATAATTTAGTTTGTAAAGTCACTCAAGTGCTAATTTTTGCACCTTCTACCTGTGGAGTGTTGGCATGTGATTAAATCACTTGATAACCAACGCTGTGTCAACGTAGTACTTGTAGACTTTACTTCAGTGACAGTACTAATATCACAGTTGCTACTACTACAAGTCTTTGATTTAAAATACAGAAGTTTTAGCATCAAGGTATACTTACGTACTTTTATACTAAGTAAAAGTACTCGTGCAGAATGATACAAGTGTAAAAAGTGCAGTATTTAGTTTATTAGTATTGAAATACTCCGTCAGTCAGCCGCCACAGAAGGTTTGGAGGTTTTAAATCTTGAAGTGATTAAAAATAAAATAAAAGTACGTCCGGCAGAGCCTTCTGGGAACTCACAACCTGGGCCGGGTCCACTACGAGCCCATCAAGGACCGCCACGGCAACGTGCTGCTGGTGACCATCCACGACACGGAGAGCCAGCACTCGCTGTTCAGCGGGAAGTGGATGCAGGTGACCAAACTGCAGAGCCAGAGGAAGTCTCTGTCCACGCCCGAGGAGCCGTACGCCCTCGACATCCTCATCATCACCATCCAGGTGAGGAAGGCCACCTGAGTCGGTCTGAGTGGCGTCTCTGAAACCAGGTTGTTCCTCTGTAAAACTCTCTTTCTCTCTGTCTTTGGCCTCCAGGACATTTTGGCGTACCAGCGGCGCAGCACTCACCGGCTGGCCCCGGGTCTCTACCTGGGCTTCCTGAAGCTCAGCAGCTCTGTAGACCAGATCAAAGTCCTGGTGTCCCAGCGGACCCCCAACATGCTCTGTCACTCCCGCATACGAGACAACGCCAACGTCTCCAGGTACATCGCGCACACAGAGTTTGTTCTGAGAGCACAAAAACAGAAAGAACACGATTTAACCCTGAAGGTTTGCGCTCAATGCCACCACCTAATAATAATCATTATATTCACTAAGCTTAATAAAGCACACAAACAATGGGTTCAATTGGCAGAAAGAGAGTCGTGACGGAGAGAAGAAACCAATGTTCCCAACCCGAGGCCTCAGAGAACAGTCGCTTTCTATCTGACCTCAAATCAAAACGCACAGTTACAGAATGCAATGTTCACACAGGTTAGCAGATTTTTCTTCTCTCTGGAAATGCGAACATGTTTCTGTCTTTGAAGCAACGTGTTGGGACGGACACATGTAGAAATAAACAGCTGTTTCAACAGGAACAACTAGGGAAGCACCGAAATGAAAGTTCTTAGCTGAAGCCGAATATAATGAAAACTTTCCAGAACACCGAACAAGGTTTTCAAATTTTGTTCCATTTATTTTTCCTTTTTTCCCCCCATTGCATAAATTAAACAGTCAAAATGAGCTTTTTCCTCAGTGTTTCCACAGGATGAGGAGAGACTATGGTGGGGGGTCCGGGGCCCGAGAGGCTCCGGTAAAGTAAACTTGTGTCCATTTACTTTTAATGGACACATGTAATATATTTTATACTTTCTGTGAATATAATCCAGTTAATCTTATTTCCATCCTGTACAGACGCCTTATTTTGAAAACCGGACGTTGTCACATGTGTTTCCTCCTCGCGCTAAATCCATCCAGTCCGACCCGGTTTGATAAAGAATGTTGTAACATGAAGACTTCACAGCCTCTCTTCATACTAAAGAGACAAACTGACAGGATAAAGTCTCTAACCTGCCCGTCAGCTCGCTCTGGGCCGCTTCACTTACCGTAAAGGCTGGAATACGTGTGCACTCCAAGTGTAGGCTCGGCTAGCTTCATCTCCTTCTCACAGACGAGTGACAGAAACACTCAAAGTGGTTCTTTTCAGCCACAGATGGAGCGGATGTGCTGGAGACAGTTCAGCAGAACAGCGTCTGCAAACGGCGACACTTTAAAATGCTTCCACACAGCCGACATGGCAACGTGACTGTTGCACCGAAAGTTTGTTTTTGCTATTTTCGGCCAAACATTCGGTGCATCCCCAGGAACAACCACCTGTGTCTTCTTCTACTCTCCTCCACACAGAGAACTCCCTCTGAGACAAACAACTTTCAGATGTAACTTGAAGCCTGTGGAATGAGAGCTGTTTGCACCTGTCAGATGTTGTCATTCATCTGCTGTATTACGTTACACAACCACTACACAGTGTGTGTGTGTGTGTGTGTGTGTGTGTGTGTGTGTCTTTGTGTTTGATCCAATCTGATTGGCTGTGAGCTCTGGGCAGGTACAAGTATTTCTGCGCTTTGGCCTCCGTTGCAGGAATTTCTGGATGCCGAGCGGCTCGCAGAGATTGGAAACTGTGAAGTGAGAAACAAAAAGTGTGTGTGTTTAGAACGACAGGCAAAATGAATCCGTGGTGTGAGTCGTTGTCGTGTAAATGAGGCGGTAGTTGATTTGTTTGTTGGTTCTGGTTGGAGGCGATGACTCAGACACAGAGAGGCCTTTTTAACGCACACTCGCTCAAAGGGGGGGGTGATTTAATCTGCACATACTCAGTGTTTCAGATTGTTAGAAGGGAGAGAAAAGGAACCAAACCTCTGGTTTTATTTCACCTTTTCTTCCCACGTAAATGATGCCACCTGTAGAGTAACTTCTGTTCTTTAAACACTTAACATTTCCAGCATGAAGGCCTCAGGACTGTCTGCCCTGTGTTACAGAAGATTTGGAGGACAAAAACCCCCCAAAAGGTTTCCTCCTCAGCAGACAACAGGACGCTTCCTTGCTGTTAAACATGCTGATAAATGACCTGTGTTTGGTTCAGGGAGGAGTGGGACTGGATCCGCTCGCTGTCGGCTGCCGGAGAAAAGGACCGCACCGGGGAGGACAGCGAGGAGGCGGAGCCCAGGCCTGAAAGCCACGCCCCTTTGCTGTACTACGAGCTGCAGACGGCGATCAAGTCTCTGCTGAAACACATCAACCTACCTCTGCACCAGGTACACACACACAGGGTTAAACACAAGCAGCTGCGGCGTCTTCAGGCTTCGCTGATGTCACCAACATTTATCACAGACGCCAAAATGATGATTTTGCTTCAGTGTGGCAGTTTAAACTAATACTTAAACTAATATTGCCATAAATTTTAATTTTATGTACTTTCATAAAATGTTGAATAATATTTATAAACATTATTTGTCTATTTTATACAGAGTCCGTTAAGTAGAGTAAATTTCATCTGTTTTAAAGTAAAGTTCTCTCTAAACTCTCCATATTGAATCATATATTGTTTGAAAGTTTTCTAAAGCACAATGTCAGCTAGTTCATATATCAGATATCTATAAGAGACGTGTTCATATTACAGTAATGTGTACGTTAAGTGTGTTTCTAATGCGCTAGCTAATCTTTAACAGCCACAAAATAACATTTTTTCTGCACGCCAAGTCATTTCCTCAACCTTATTCCCTTGATCTCTTATTATTCTCAGTTTTTGTGGCATTTTATTTGTAAATATGTAAGGAAAAAAAGGCTCTGTGACATATGAGCGGTTTATTTTGAATAAATCCATTAAAACAAACGTATTTGTTAACTGTTCTGTAGATGTCTAAACATTTGGTATATTTTCACTATAAAACCAAGAAGAATCCATCTGTCTCTTATCAGTGTGCTGGAAAATGGATTTCTGTGATATGCAAATCAGCGCATACTTAATGATGAAATACCCAATTTACATATTACAAAATAAAAAACTTCTGTTTATGTTTAGTTTAGCTTGTTAGTTTCATTGAGATATGAGTAAAGTTGGTTTAGATCCACCAGACTGCACACAGATTAACCCTCTGAGCAAGTTCACGTTAAAAATCAGACTTGTTTCTTAAATCGACTCATTTTCCTGTGGAGTTTGGTGCTGAGCCAGTTTGAAGTGTGCTTGTTTCGTGCTCAAACCTGCTAGTTTGTCTGGTTTTATCCAGGTTTAGTGTTCAGTTGTTCCTCCATCAGCATCTGGAGATTGAGACGTGTTACTTACAAAAAGCCGATCACACGTTATGGTTCGGACCTGGTTCTTGGTTTGGGCTGTGGGAAGGCATGCAGTGTGTGTGTGGTTAAGGTTAATGTGTGTGTGTGTGTGCAGGCCCGTCACTTCCGTCTCTACAGTCAGGAGGTGGTGGAGCTCGGTCACGGCGTCTCCTTCCTGCTGCTGCTGCCGGCGGCCGACAACGTTTGCTCCGCCCCCGGACAGTCCAACCCCTACAGCCCCCTGTCAGGATTCCTCCACCTGCCCCTGCAGATGTTCGAACTCGGTAACAACACACACACACACGCTTACAAATCCACCTTTCATGTGTTATTTGTCTTTGAAGTCCGATAAATAAAACTGTTTAGGACCACATGTTTGTGCACATTCTCACCTGCAGGGGGCGGGCTGTTCATGCGTGGACGTGTTTACTGTAAACACTCTTTGATTATGTAATTTATTTGTCCAAAAGGACGTTTGGAGCCTTTAAGGCGAGACGCTGCAGGTGAACAGGGTAAAAAATGACACCATTAAACCTTCCTAGTTGATTACTAACATTAGGACAGTATTTATTTTGTATTACAGGTTTTCTCAAATATTATGATTAACTATGCAAATGAGGCAGTGTCTAATAAAATATGCGCTTATTTGCATCTATTTAGAACTAAAATCTGAATGAAGTCAGGTTCAAAATTATTGTTTTGTTGACAACGTTAGACTCAAATGTTTTCACAGGGGATTTTGGATATCTCTTTTTATTATTTCATAAATCAGAAAATACTGAATAAACAAAAATCAGCTTTCAACCTGTTTTTGGAAATAAAATGTTGTGTGGCTGTGAATGATATGGAAACAAACCCCTTCAGAACAGAGTCAGGAATGAAACTGGAAGCTTTGGTGTCGGCAAGGCCCCGTGTCCACCAAAGCGTTTTTTCCCAGCTGAAAACGCCCAGCAGGGAGCGCCAGCGGCCGTTTTTACCTCCTGCTTTGGTTGCTATGATACATTTGTTGCAAGTAGTTCTACTTAACTTTACTGGATGTAAAAATGTCAGCACAGAGTAGAGTCCTCGCTCTGCGTGAAGAGGAGGCTGAAGCAGGTAGAGAGGGAGGACGGACTCACCGTATGTGGGTTCATGACATGTTTTGGGCGAGGAATCATCTGGGTGAGTACCACCGCTTGGTCCGAGAGCTGAGGTTGGACGAAGCCCGGTTCCCGGATAGTAACCGTTGCTACGGTGTGGTATTTGTCCCGCCCCTCCTCTACTGTGATTGGACTGCTGGGTAAAAAGTGACAATGACTGCAGAGTTTTTACCAAAGTTGAAAACTTTTCAACGCTCAGCGCCTCGTCACGCTGCTGCTGTTTTTACCATGTTGTAAAAACGCGGCGCTCCCATTGCAATGAATTGAAAAAAGACACTTCGGTGGACACGGGGCCTCAGAGCAAAGAGTCAAATCACGTGACGCATCTAAACCAATCACGTTGTCAGAAATCCACACTAGCCAATCAGATTTCACGCGCAGCTTAAATCCGCCTTTGTACTTTCACGATCGGTTGTTGGTACAAAGGAAATGACCATATTTGCTAACTTTTAGGAGAAATCTACAGACGCAGAGGGACAAACTGCCGGAAAATAAACAACTAAATGTGGATTTAGAAAGTTTTCTTTTCTACTGGTCTGAGAGACAGTTTAGCCCAAAACCCCCAAATTAGCCAGAGCATGATAAAACCACGTTGCTGCCTGCACACTGTCATCCGCTGCAGGGCAGGAGCTTCACGCAGCCTGAACCTCTGGAATCTTCTGTCATGTTTACATGTAATGACATCTAAAGTCGAGCAGCGTCTGCAGCTAGACAGGGTTTCTAACCAGCATGTCACATGTGAGAGACAGCAGAGCGTCCTCACGTTTAAAATAACCCCATCCAAAGTGCGACAAAACTGAAGCTGACGCAGAGTCAGATGTAGAAGTCTGAATACGTTTGTCTCCACCGCTGACTTCTTCTTAACAACACGTTCGCTCTGTGAAACAAAGCTCGGACACAGTTAAATTAGTGAGCTGCTGCTCAAAGATCGGAGTCTCGAGATGGGCAGGCAGCAGCGATTTAGCGTTGTACCGGACCGCCGTGGTTCAGAGGGAGCTGAGCGTTCCAGCCTTCAGCTGTAGTCGTGAGCCGTGGGACCGAAAGAAGCAGATCTCACATACGAGCAGCCCAGTTTCCTCAGACGGCCGCAGGGAGCTCGGAGTAGAAAGCAGCCAGCTGAGGCGGTTCGACTTCAGATCAGGATCCTCGTCTGGAGGTTTCCCAGAGCTCGGGTCCGCTCAGGCCGGAGTGTGTTGAGGTGGATCAGCAGGGACAGACTGAGCTGTGTTAACAAACACACCTCCGGCTGCAGGGAGAAGCACTAAATCAGTCTGCAGGCTCCAGCAGGACGGCCTCTCTGCTGACCCCCCCACACACTAACACAACAGAGTGTGTCACTAACACCCAAACACAGTGCACAATCCCCTCTCTTTGTACCGACCTCCTCCAGCGGGAAGACGCAGGTCGCTCGGCTCTCAGTGCGCGACGTGTTCCTGTGACGACCACTTATTGTTTAGAAGTACAGAACCTAGTAAATGGTGTTTTTTTTCAATCCACAAACTGGTGGAGAGTGCTGCTCTCAGATCAGTTTCTCCTGCGTCCCTGCTGAGTCCTGGTCCAGCCGTCCCTCCTCTGTGTGTCTCTGTTTGGACTGTGGCTTCTTTTCACCTCGATGAGAAATTAATTCATTTGAATTCAGTGATAAACTCCTGGACTTTCAGCACATTCAGAGTCTCTCCCGCAGATCTGTGTTCTCTCACTCCCCTACAAACAACTGATTTATTGTATTTATGTTCTTTTGTTTAGTGACCGTCTTCTTCTTCTTCTTCTTCTTCTCTTCCTCCTCGTTTATCTCTCTGCTCCTTCTGTCTTTAGTTCACTTCTGCACCTACAAAGAGAAGTTCATCAGCCTGTACTGCCGCCTGTCCTCCGTCCTGGACCTGGACGCCCTCATTACCCAGCAGGCACTGCGAGAGGCCATCACTGACAGCGAGGTGGCCACGGCGAAACAGAGGCACCAGCTCATACTGGACTACATCCAGGTGAGAGACGAACACGCAGGTGAAGGCCGACACTCGACTTTTCTAACCAAAGCGTTCGCTTTACCACAGAGAGATTTAGCCATGTTCGGTAAAGCTGCTCCCGTCGTCGTCTGCCGGTCTTTAAATGGTTTGATCTGCGGCCCCTAAAAAGGCAGATCACATGATGCAATACTCCCATAATTGTCCCATAATGGTTTCACTAACGTTCAAAGAGAGCTAGCACTGAGGGCCGTTTAGCAGCTCAGGGGCCACTCAGCTGTCGGCCCCTCTCTGCAGAGTTTATCATCGACTGTTACAGTAAATGAATAAAGTCGCTGTTTGTTCTCTTTTCGTAGTTTAATCCACAGGAAAGATTTATTTATTTGATGAATAAGCAGCGGCCGCTGTGCTTTGAGCCTCTGTCAATTCATGATACTTTATCGTCTCTGTTTTTTTAATTATTAAATAAATATATAATGCGAGTACTTCCCTCCTTCACAATAAGATAACGGGCTTTAAGGCTTTAAGCTTTGCAGTGAGGACGCAGAAAGTATTCTCTCTCGGAGCTGCTGCTGCTGCTGCTGCTGTCCACGGTGTCCACAGGAAAGGAATTTCCCATGTTTTTGGTATTACGTGACGGCCAATGAAAGTCCGAGTCCGACACGTTTTCTTCATTTGTCCTCCATCTGTCTTTTTTTTTTTGTTGGCTTATTCACCATCAAGTTGTGGCCCTTTTCACGGCGGTTTGGATTATTGAGATCGTAGAGCAGCAGTGACCGCCGCTACTGAACACGGCGAGAATACAGAGTCGCCCAGGAAATGTGCAAATCACATGCGGTTCCACTAAAAACTGGGATCAGCCCGTGTGGTTTCAGCTCCTGCACAGATTCACTCAGTCTGTGGCGGGAAATCAGACGACGAGAGGCGGTCAGAGCTCATCAAGGAGGAGGCTTAATAAATCTTTTTATTTCAAAGATGAAGGCGCTGTGAAAACCGACGACTTTGGAATCCACTTTGAGACGTTTACTGATGCAGTAAAGTGTAAGGGAAAATGTGATGGTGGTGTAGTAGTAGTAGTTTTGAATTGAAAACATTCGTTGGTGCTCCCGGCTGATGTGGTCGTTGGAGTCATCTGAGGCCGAGTGCGATCGTTTGTTTAGTTTGCTGGGGAGAGATGAGAGCGCTCGGTCCCTGATCTCCTTCCGACTCTCAGATGAAATACTGTCCTCATGTTGGGGCGGGAGTTTCAGTCAGCCCTGGATCTCCTCGATGGCGTCACGCAGAGGCGATCGCTGTCGGGACCTGATGCAGCGAGGCCTGTTGGAAGTGACGCTGAGCAGAGAGAGCTGCTGCAGCTGCAGCTCGTCCTTGGAAAGTGTCTCAGTCTGTCGGAGCTCATGAAGCTGCTGTCAGTCTGATCAGCTGCAGATGGAAAGATGGAAATTCCTTATATCTTGTTCAGAGAGGAAAAGGCGGCGTGGCGAGGCTCCCCGCCACGCCGCCTTTTCCCCTGAAGTCACAGTCTGAAAGGGAAGCTGACTCTGTTGTTGCTGAAAAAGCTGCAGCTTTCTTCAGCCTTACTCCTGAAGGTTCATCTTATTCAGTACGAAGCGATTCCTGAGACGGATTTTCATGATGTTAGCCGTGTGTTTGTTTCAAGGTCTCCGTACGATGGGTTATTTAATTAAACAGTGTTGTGAAGGCGCCACCGCTCTGTGGTGGACAGGAGGGGGAACTTCAGAGGCGGCACGAGAGCATACAAAGGCAACGGAAAGATGCGATTAGCTGCGACCACAGGCTGTACAACAGAAGCGGACATAGCGGCCGTGACGTCACCCGTCGGTTTGTGGACTGCCGTTTAAAGCCTCCAGTTTGGCATCTTGGCCGTCGCCATCTTTTATTTTTGGAACCAGACGTGAATTATCTCAATTATTGGACGAGAGGGTGGAGCTTGGAGCCAGTTAGCTTGGTTAGCAAGCTGCATCTGTAATTTACGTAAACTGTGATATTAGCTGGGATGCTACTTTTGGCTAGCGACAAACCTACTTACTGAAAAATGAGCAGCCGGCGCTGGTTAAATGTTCACAGAGCAGCAGATACGAGTCGCCTCTATCCTGTCTGACAGGTTGTCAGTCAGCTTGTAGCCCCGCCCTAAAGCCTCCCCTGCTTCCTGGTCTCTGTTCCTCTAAATGGGACCATAATTTACTAAATGAACATCATGCTGTGTTGAAGAAGACTTGAAACTAGCGACTGAGACCATAAACTCATCAGGAAAGTGTTTACTGAGGGAATAAATCAGCTGACAAGTAGAAACATTTTCTCACAGACTTCTATACAATCACACTTCTTTCTGCAGCCGCTGGAGTTTTAAGGCTGTTTTCAGCTCACTTTTCAGACCCGGATGTTCACGCTTTCGAGCAGATTTCTTTACTCTGATTAAAGCAGCTCACTTTTCTATCAGACAGAGGAAATAGAGCATCTGCTAGGGACAATTATTCTAATTTCATTGGGTTTAATAGTTTCTGGACAACAGTGGAGCTCAGAATATCACCACACTCACGTTAGTTGAATGTTTTGTATTGACAGACTTTAGACGGAGTCGATGTTTAAGCTTCACGTGTTTGTTGTTTGCTGCCCGGGAGACGAGCAGGAGTCTCCTCCATGTTTTCCTCGCTTTGTCGAGTTGGCATTCTTTCCAGCCGAGTCATCGCTGCTGTGCGTCTTCCCGCCGCGTGTGTGTGTGTTAACTGCTGCTGAAAGTTTCGTCCTGATTCATTCTCTTCACGAGCAAACGCACTCACACGTTCACCCGTGAGACTTTCACTCTCAGTGAATCGCCCAAAATACTTCAAGAGCTTCGCCGAAACTTCTCTGATGTCGATGCACAAGGCTTATTTAATGTGCAATAAATTTATAGTAATAACCAACATTACAAAGTGCTTTACTTGGGAAAAACTAAATTAAAACACTGATCAAACACTGATTAAAAGAGGAATATTAAGAAATAAAACACATGAAAGATGGAGGAGCTTGGGGATAACTTTAATAAAGTCATCTAAAGGCCTGGTTCTGTTCCTCAGATTAAACACTTGAGAGCACCGTGTATCAGCAAACCTGTTGCTTCCAAATCAAAGTGTGCAAAATGACACGAACAAAGGCGACATGTTCATCAGCTTTTTGTGTGAACGGCAGTCCTAAAAACAAAGAGTATAAAAACGTTTAATCATCGAGTGAAATGACGGTTTGAGCCCGTCTGACTCTCACACAGCATTTTGACCTGTTTGTATTTGTCCTCTGTCCTCCGATAGCAACTGGACGAGATGCGGCGTGACCTCCGCTGGATCACCGACGCCCTGCAGTACGCTCGCTACAAGCAGCCCCGCGGCGGCGTACCGATCACCTGCCTGGTGGACGCCAACGCTCCCGATAGCGACTCCGGCCAGCAGAAGACGGACTCCACCTCCTCGGCCATGGACTACCTGCCCACGCCTTCGCCCTCGCCTGAACTGCGCAGACGGAAAGCCATCAGCGGTGAGTCGTCTCTCCCGAGCGCCGCTTTAACTCTGATCGCTCTGAGCAGCGTTTCACCGACACGCCGTCTGCTTTCAGACTCTCTGCTCGGGTCGGATGAAGACGGGTCCTCGGAGGTTTTCCTGCCGACGGACAGCGACTACGACTCCAGCGACGCCCTGAGCCCCCGCGAGCTGGACCTGCTCTACTCGCCGCCCCAGGATCTGTCCCAGCAGGCCGTGCACTCGCTGGGCGGCAGCGCCCCGGACGTGCTCCAGATCCACGAGCTCAGGTGATTGGTCTGTTTGTACCTGCGCCATCAAAGCTCAGAATTATTACATACGTTATACTTTTTACTCCTTGAAGAAGTAAAAATATTACTTTACTTATTTCTGGGTATTAAAAGTAGTTAGTTATGCATTTCTCAGAGCAGTTTATTTACAGGACATAAAACGTCTCTTAGCGCCGCTCTCTCAGACGCTTCACTAAATCAGATGTACAATTGTTCGTGGTTGAAAGCTTTTTGCCGACGACAGTGTTCTTTACATCTTAGACTGTGACACAGTAACGGTGACAGCTGTGGGAAGAGCGCCTCTCTCCCCCGTTCTCCATTCTTCATTTAGCTTTTTGACTTGAACAACACCTGGGGTCTCATTAATAAACGGTGCGAACGCACAAAACGGGGCTGGAAACGTGCGGACGCCACTTCCCAAGCAAAGGTTGTGATCTATAAAACCGGAGCTGACGGGAGAATGTGTGTCCTGTAAGTAAACTCTGAACCATGCGTACGCACATTAAGAGGAGAAAAGAGAAACGGCGCCTCACACGGCTGAAGGATGAAACGCTTTGACATGAATAGGCTGACTGCTGTGTAAAATAAATCCACGTCTGGCTTAAAGCCTTTCTGAATAAACATCATTTAAGATCATTTGCATGCAGCAATTTATTCTCTTCAATAAGGTGAACAGGACAAATTACATTTAAACTGATGCGTCAGTCGAGCAAACACCAGAGCAGAGTTTCATATATTGTTCTCACATGTTCGTTGCCTTATGGAGCCGAACGCTGAGCGCAAGCGTGTGGATGTGATGCGCTGCTGCTAAAAACACGTTATGGAAAATAAAACCGCTGATGTCAACACGTCATATTTCTTTAACTCGTCAGCACCTCGTTCAGACCTCTTTTCAAACGGGGGAATGCAGATCAGTACCTGGGTCGTCCCTTCTGTGTGGGCCCCTCCGGTCAGCGACGTCACTGCTCAGAGGGAGGCCCTTCCTGCAGGTCGATTATAAAGGGGCGGAGCTCCGGGGCCCCTCTCCTCCGGTGCACAAGCGTTATTGAAAGTGTGTTTTCCCCCCCGAAACAGCTTCAGCTTCACCAAAAGGAGCATCAGAGTCACTGAGTTAGACTCAGAGTCCGCCTCCTTTTCTTCCTGCAGTCAGGACGCGTTAATATTAATGAGCTTCACTGAACGTTTACAGGCAGCTGTGGGCGTTTGGAGGGCCGGACATGGAGCTCCCTCACAGGGGCCACATTTCAAGTTGATTGTGATTTATAAAGGGAACTTGCTGACAGGTGTGGGCACGCACGCCATTTTTGGCTTTTGGGCACACGGACACTTTTAGTGAGGATTCTACGCACAGTTTTATAAATGAGGCCCCAGGTCCCGCTTCTGGATTCTTAACTGCCGCTGACCTGCAGTCATGCATTCACATCAAGGACAACAAAGTAAATCGCCCTCTGGTAACGCGGCGTTGCTTGAATAAGTAACTGTAATATTATAACTGTCCTTTATACTACTGGTTAATGTTTCCACACATGTTCATTTCCTGCTGTTTGTTTTATATTTTCCTGTAAATTAAAAAATATATTTGCACGTACATTTGAATTTCCAATAAATTTTCCATTTAATGCAGGAATGATTTCTGTCAGGGCCGACTCGGTAACGCCTCGTGTGACGCCAGCTGACATTAGGAACACATCTCAGTCTCAGTCGGTCAGACAGGAAGTGTGAACGCCCCTGATGTCCCTGTAAGTCTAACGGGCCCTCCTGTTGTTTGGTCTCTCAGGTACAGCGTCTGCACGCCCAAAGACCTCCCCCTCTCTCCGGTGGACCCCCCTCTCTCCTCGCCGCTCCTCCCCCACTCCCCGTCTCTATCCAGAAACTTCCCGTTCTCCACCTCTGGTCTGCCTCGCTCTCCCTCCCTCTCCAGGACCCTCCCCACCTCCCCGTCGGGGCCCCTGTCCCCCCGATTCTCCACGGACCTGCCCCTGTCCTTCCCCCTCTCCCCGGTGCTGTCCGACACCACCAAGACCCTGGAGGGTCTCTCCCTCTCCAAGAGCCACCAAGAAGGCGCCGCTTCCCTGAGGGCCCGCGTTAACCCCCCCGCCAAACGCAAACTGCTCTCCAGGAGCCACCGCGGCCAGTACTTCAGCGGGCCGCAGCGCTGGCTCAAGGGCCACAGCGGGGAGAGTCACACCGGGTCTTTATCTGAGGGCGTCTACACCAAGCAGCTCGACCTGGACCTGCCTCTCCCCGGGGACCCGCCCTTCCTGCAGGGCCCCACCTACGTCAGCCACGCCTCCTGCGTCCTGGAGAGCCGCAAGGGCCGACACCGGGAGCCGCGACCCCACGTCCGCAGGATCTTCGTGGAGCCCTGTAAGGAGCTGTCGCCGGGCCACGAGAGGAGGGGCTGGGAGGGGGAGGAGGAGGAGGAGGAGGAGGAGGAGGGGATGAGGGAGGAGGTGAAAGCAGCAGGTGTGTCGGTGTTCGTGGCAGAGGCGGAGCCTGAAGAAGAGGAGGAGGAGCCGGAGGGAGCCGCCACCCAGGAGGTAGACTCAGACGACCAAACCAACGCCCAGGTGTCGGAGCTCCTCAGCAGCACGCTGTAGGAGGCGGCAGGTCGGTTCAGTCCACGCCGCCTGTTCATCACACGCTCTCCTCAGCAACTGCTTTTATTTTGTCCGTTTAGCGTTTAAACCGAGCCGAAGAAGGTTTGCTTCAGATCTGCTTACACGAGTTAAAGGCTGAAACTGTGAATCAGTGTTTACGTTCGGTACATTTAAGCCTCACTTACCGTAGGAAGAAGCAACAAAACAGACGCCTGTTGACAATAAAAACAACACTGATAGGATCAAAACGAATAATATAATGAGTGGAAGCAAAATTTAAATAATAATTCAATAAAAATAAGGACACGAGTAAATTATATTCAGACCTAAGTTTATAGAGTTTCCTGGTGTCTGCGCTTTTACCTTTTATATATTTAGATATTTTCATCATACAAGGATTCCAGAAGTTTTGGATCGTGTAGCATAAAACAGCCGCTCTGTGGTTTCTATGTTTCCGCGGGTCTGCTGTGATGGAACTACAGCGCTGCGTCTCTTTATTATTATATTGCTGCTGCAAGGAATTATGGGACACCTCCTTTCCCTTGGTAAAGGGTGGTGCAGTGCTCCCTCTGCTAAAGGAGGCGAGAAAAGGAAGCAGTGAAGCATCTTTCTACCATTTGAAATGATGCAAATTACAAGGTCACACAACATGTAAACCGCACTTTGGCGTTCCTAAATATTTTTTACCTAAACGAACGTCAGAGTCGAGCCTGGACACCAGCTGCTGGGTCTCACCTCGCTCTCAAATTCACATTTTCAAATTCAAATCAAAATAATGCCAAAGCCACATATAAATTACATAAGAACAATTCATTAAATAAATAAATAAAACAGTAAAAGTTGTTTGTGTGTGTCAATAAAAAATCAAATAATAATAAAAACATATAAAATTTAAATATTATGTAAAAATAAATGAAAATAAATAAATAAAACAGTAAGCGTGTTAAAAAATAAAAAAAATATTAAAAATAAAAATAAAATAAATAGATAAAACTATAAACGTGTTTGTTTTTATATTAATAGACAAAAAAAATTAAAAACTAAAAAAATCAGTATCAAATTGAAATTTAAAAAACAAAATACAAATAAAGGAACTATTACTAAAATAATAGTAAATAAAAAAATAATAAAAAATCTCTCTCTCTGTGTGTCTCTCTACCACAGTGACGATTGGCCGGCCGTGTCCTGGCGAGCAGCCCTCGCCTCTCCGTAGATTGTAAACTTCTCTAAAAGTTGCTGGTTCAACTCCGCCAAGCCTCAGAACCCATGGCACCGACTGTTACGAAGAGAACAACCAATGCAACGACAAACCAGGCACTGCTTCTCCGACCAGGAACTTTGCACACTTTGACTGAACGTCAACCAAAAAAACACTCGCTGGTGGTTTGATTGATTGATCGATTGATGGTTTGATTGATTGATTGTGGCTCCGTTTCTTTCCAGGTTTAGTTTTATCAAATTGAATGGTTGGAGGAGTTTCCTGCAGGCGGCGCCGCCTTCAGATGGATTCTCCTCTGCTTGAAGTGAATGTACAGTTCAGTCCGTTGGCGTCTCCTGTGTTTTGTTCAGCTTGGGTCTCAATGTGGTCAAACAAACCTGTGGTCTGTCTAAAGATTAAATATATATAAAAATGATTCCCCCGAGTCACTAAACCCAGACCACTCGAAACCTTAACACATGAAGTATTTTTGTAGTCTCTTTTACCCGAAGTGTTGTCAGAGCATGACGTGTTTTGTGGGTTTTTTCTCCTGGGCCGAAGCTTCGTGTCCAGTTTGTGCCTCCTCCGGGTTCTGCATGATGATGTCAGGGGTCGGCGGGGGAGGGGGGAGGGAAATCTGCACTTTGGCCCTCGGGACCCGACGGTGTTTTTGTGTCGTGCTGTCGTGTTGAGCTTCTCTTTCCGTGTTTCCTCCGAGGCTGCTGGTGTGTTTTTATCTTTTGTGTATTATTTCTTTTTTTACAACTCGCACCAAAAAAAAACCTGCACCTGTTTTCAGAGGAACGCCCGTCGGTCGGTCGGTCCGAGAGCTGTTCAGGTTCCTCAGATGTATGCACGCCGTTTTCAAAAGTGCGTTTTTAATGTTTGCACATAAAAATGATGGAATAAAAGCTAATTGAATCTATTTGATGCAGTTTGGACTTTAACTGTGGCAGCTTCTATCACTAATGACTGTAACATGTTCCAACAAAGTGTTGATGATAAAGACGTATGAAGTGTTCTGTGTCCTGGTTTTGTTCTTCTTTGAATGTGTAGCACAGATACTGCAGTACGCCCCAGTACTACAGGTACTACAACACAACTGCACTGCAGACGCCTCTTTTACGTGACGTTACAGTCGGATAATAAAACATTTATTTGCTTTTGTTTTGGACGAGAGTTAAAAGATTGATTTCAACATCAAGTATGAAGATTAGCCTAGCTTAGCATAAAGACAAACTTTGTGGTTTCAGGCGGGGCAGAGATTTATGCTAAGCTAACACACAGTCATGAGATTACTGTCCACCTCAACATTTCACTCTCACTGAGAAAGAGAATAAATAAACTGCATCCAGCAGGTTGGAAACAAACCCAGAGTTTATTATTTGGAGGTCTGAAATGTCATATTAATCAGGAAACATGTTGTTTCTCAGTTCGGGAAAGCTGAAGCTCAGGTTTAACTTTTATTGTTTATTAGGAGATAAATTAACCTTTTAGATTTTTAATTTGTGGTCGATTTATAAAAATAATGTCCAGCTTGACGTAGAGCTGAGCGATACGGCCAAAAACGTTATCACCATATAAAAATGTCATATTTGATATCGATCATTTTCAGGTTTAACGGCTGATTTTTGCTCCTGAGTGAAAGTTAATGTGGTCAGAACAAACACTGGACGCCAAACAGAGGATCACTTCACAAACCTGAGGCAGAACATACTCTTATATTTATATATTTCTTTATCTACCTACTTTCTATTATTAATTCTATTCCTTATGCCTTGAAGTGCAACTGCGACAAAAGAATTCTGAAAAATTAAGAAAAATCCAGTTCAGTAAATATCTTAATAGATAAATTAAGTGCTAAATTGTTTGTGATTCAAATAAATCAAACATTTATTGAACTTTTGTTTTATTGTTATTGAGAAAAATGATATTGTGATAATTATCAGTATTGTTTTATTGCAGCCCTACGAGTTATTTTTCCTTTTCAGACTGATTGTTGATTTATTCTGTGTCTAAAAAAAAAGCAGTAAACATTTCTTTGTTTTATTGTTTTGGGGGAAAATTATACTGCGATCATTATCATTGTTTTGTTGCTCTAGTTTGACTTAATATGCAGTTTTTACCAATTTAAATTAAATCAGTTTTCATTTGAGATTCTCACGTCGTCTCGCTGACCGCAGCAGAACTCAGACTCTGATGTTCCACCTCACTGAAATGCTGCTGACGTAGCAAATGGATCATATAAAGCATATAATAACCTCAAAATAGAGTCAGAAACGTCATCAGAATTTCAGAAACGTCATCAGAATTGGTTCCACCAGGAGTTGAAATGTGGCCATTTCCAGTTTAAATGGTCATTTTGAGTTCTGCATCCTCACTAACCTCCAAACCCACTCCAGGATTGTCCAAATCTGCCTAAATATTGTCCAGATATGTAATTATGCACACTTTATGCAAATTATGCAAATTAGCATCTGGCAGATTCTAAATGCTGGTGACCACTGCTGCACATTTCTAGACTTTAACTTTGGGGTACTCGACATTTCTGGCCTCGCCGCGTTTGTTAAAACGGTTTTCATCGCCGCGTCCTCGTCCATATGTGTGGCATTCTGGGTATGTGAGTCAAGCTCTGCCAATCAGAGGTAACGAAACACTGCTGTCAGACAATCAGAGGCAGCGATTCACATATTATATCACATCAGTGTGAGAGTCTGCTGACCATGCTGTGTACAGCGGTACTTCACATTTTATACTGCACTACGTCTCGGGGGGGAAATACTGTACTTTTAACTGCACCGCATTTATTTGTCACTTGCAATTAATCTTATTAATCCACTCAAAGTTTGAAAAAGTGGCTTCACGTTTATGAACTACAGCATTAAAGTACTTTTTTACATGTTATATAATATTCTGTGTGAAAGGAGCCAGTCTGCATAGTGAGAACTTTTACTTGTGATACATTTTGCTAATAATGCTTCACATAATGGAGTGTTTCTACTTTTCAGTGAGTAGTAGACTTTGTTATTTACTTCCATTGCTTCAGTTTATCAGTTTACAAACTGGTCGTAGCTGATTGGGTAACACCTGAGACACGCCCACCAAACGGGAGAAAACACCTCGCTGCAGAACGTTGCAAGGAAACATGTTCAATCCGAAAATGTTGCAAACCGGTTTTTCACACTTAAGGAAGGCTTTTATTGTGAAACGTTTGAGTTTCACTGCCAGCAGCTTTTAAAACGACCAATAATTTCACTAAAACCGGCATCAGTGGAAGTATGAAGGTATTTTAATGCAAGCAAAGAAAATGTTTTGAGAGCATATTTCTCACACTGCAATCAAAAATCAAGTTTGTAATTAAAAACAAACTTTTTTTGTGTCACAAAAACTTTTAGTTGCTAATTTGTCCTCTTTGATTGCAAATTGAAAAGTTTTCCTTGAGAGTCAAAGTTTCGCAGGTTAAACCGCTTTGCGAGTGAGAAAGTTTTGCAAGGGGATTGTGGGCATGCGGTCGATGCAAACCCATGATTGGTCAGTCAAACCCACCAATAGAAACTCTTATTTCAACCATTTTTGACTCACAAAACCTTTCGACTTGCAATCAAAGAGGACAAATTAGCAACTAAAAGTTTTTGTTACAAAATTGATTGCAGTGCGATAAATATTTTTTTTTTTCTTTGCTTGCATTAAAAAGATACGAAAATACCTTCATATGGATGAAACCGGATTAAGCTCTTATTTTAGAAATACTTAGACAGTTTGAGGTGACAGAGTTTGAAGGATGTCTTGAAGCAGCGTCGGCCTGCTGAGCGATGCACGACGGAACGGATGAAAGGTGGTCAAAATCTATTTAGTAGGTTAACAAATAAAACAAACAACTCGGCTCATTTACTTAGTTAAAAGTAGTAATACTGCAGTTTAAAAATAAGTCTTGCATTCAAAATCTTAAAAGCATCAAAAGAAACTTAAAGTACTAAAAGTACTCCTTATGCAGAATAATGTGTATCGTGTTACTGGATGTGTTTAATGTGTACTAATACTTCATTTATTAGTAGATTATATTTTGTGTAAATATTTAGAGTCTGCAAAGAGAAACATATCAAATAAATGTAGAGAAACAAACGCAGATAAAGTGGACAGTGAATGTATTCAGGGGGATTTGTGATTTGTTTTTATTGGCTCGTGGTCAAGCGGGTTTCTGGTTTCACTTCCTGTCAGCTGGCGTGGAGGTGTCGGAGGAATCTGACGCTCGCAGGACGCCGCGTGGGAGGGTGTGAACCGACTGGAATCTCACACCCCAGCTGGCGGGCAGCTTTCCCCCGCTGGAGCGCTCCAAGCATTCGGTCCAAACCACAGGATCGCTGCTCGCAGAGACTTGGCGCTCCGCACAACGAGTCCGTCAGTGAGAGCGCCGATCCATTTATCCAGCGGAGCCTGAGAGCCGCTCGGGGAAACTCTCAGCACACAGGAGAGAAACGTCTGAGTAATGTGACCTTCAGGAGCCGGATGATCTGTCCTGGATCGCTGACCCGAGTTAAACCTTTTAAAGTCAGCTTGTTTGCTTCAGTCTCCTCCTCGTTGCTGCTGCTGCTACACACACATTTATATTGTAACCTGAGGAGCGGTTCAGTCCAGACGCAGGACCACACACTCTGCGTTCAGACTAAACCTTTCAGAGTCTCGGGATCTCACAGAATCTCACGTGATCAAAAGTGACGTCAGACAGAAACGTCGTCAACTGGAAGACCTTGTATGTTGGTGTGACAAACAAAAAGAAGAGAATCAAACTGTGAACTCGAGGCTGAGGAGGGCGAATCAGCAGGTTTCTGCATTTCATAAAGCAGAAACACGCTGTCGTGTTTCCATCAACGTTTTTTTACGCACATTAGAAAACGTTGATGGAAACGGAAAGATTCGACTGGCTGGCAGCAGTTTGCGCGCTTGAAACATTCCTGAGGACCTCTCTCCATTTTTCTGAGATCAGTGGTCCTCAGGTTCATGCGACTGGTTTTGTTTCAGGTTTGGAACCAGACGTCTTGTTTATTACAGCCATGTGTCAGCTGCTGATGTAACGACGCTCGCCGCAGCCTGGTTTATTCGCTCCAAACCAGCTGATGGAAACGCACCTCTTCGCTTTTAAAATTCACATGACAATTAGCTGGAAACATGGCTAACGGCTGCTCTCATTGGCCAGTCGGCGACCTTCAGATTCTGTCTGTAAAGCTTCACACTACAGGATCATTTGGGCCGATAATCTTTTCCGACCAGCCTCGGCCCGGGAACGCTACGTTCACTACGGACGTGTGTACTGTAAAAGGTGACGGTCGCTCAGCTCTGCGTTAGCTTTACGTCACAGTGCGGTTGAGTCTCAGCAGCCCGTTCTCGTGTTTCAGTTCTGTTGGATCCAAGTAGAAGCTCCCTCTGATGGTTTTGTTGAGTTTTTACAACATTGTGACCATACTTGTACTTGGAGCTAACGGCTGTGTGCAGAGCTAGCTAGCTTGCTTAGAAGGTGCATCTGTAATTCACATTAACTGTTATTTTAACAGGGCTGATAAGTTTGTCTAGCGAACAACAGGCTTAAAACTAAATGTACTCACCAGAGAAAGTGAACAGCCGACTCCTAATAAGCTTTTTCACCTCTATCCTGTTTGACAGGTCGCCATGGTAGCGACTTGTCAATCAGCTTGTAGTCCCGCCCTAAAGCCTCCCCTGCTTCCTGGTCTCTGTTCCTCTAAACGGGACCATAATTTACTAAATGAACATCACGCTGTGTTGAAGAAGACTTGAAACTAGCGACTGAGACCATAAACTCATCAGGAAAGTGTTTACTGAGGGAATAAATCAGCTGACAAGTAGAAACATTTTCTCACAGACTTCTATACAATCACACTTCTTTCTGCAGGAGTCGCCCCCTGCTGGCTGCTGGAGGGACGCAGGTTTAAGTTACTTCCGCGTTGGCTTCGTGTCCCAGACCGGGCGCTTCCCGTTTGTTTTAAATACAGGTTTTGTGTTCAACG